TCTAGTGACAGCGAGAGTGAATATTCCCCAGTGAAGCGCCAGTATGTACGACGTAGCATGCGGTCTGGTAGTGTTTCATATGTTGTTCCAAGGGGAAGGAGAAACTCTGGGAGCACATCCCGTGGCCCTACACCACGACCTGATAGTGAAGATGACGATATTGTAATGATGGGTATGAATGGTGACAGTGAGGGAGGAGGCAGTGGTGGTGATAGTGAGGGTGGCACAGCCCATGTGGCACCATCACCAGGCCACGCTACTACCCACACGGCTGACTCAGCAGAACAACCAGCCTCACCCTACCCCACACTCCCACAACCTGCACCACCACAACCTGCACAACCACAACCAAGGTACAATATCCAGACCCCACCAGCAGACCGCATCTGGGATTGGCAGGAACGGTGACGAGTTTGTTCCCAGTCCCCATGACTTTGATGAAACACAAAGTGGAATAAAGCCATCTTGTCCACTTGGGAACAATGCCAGTGAACTGGACTGCTTTGAGTTATTCTTCGATGAACCCCTGATGGACATCATTGTCAGGGAAACAAACACATACTCTGATTACACCATGGCAAATACAATTCTCTCACCAAAATCACGGCTACACAAGTGGAAGGAGACAACTGTGGCAGAGATGTACCTGTTTTTTTGCCACAATAATGCTTATGCCACATGTGTATAAGCACACTGTCACCACATACTGGACAACAGATCGCCTGATTTCAACTCCAGGTTTTAGTGACATTATAGGTGTCAATCGTTTCCTGATACTGTTACGTATGTTACACTTTTCAGACAAAACCAGGCCTGACAGAAGCGACAGGTTATATAAGATAAGAAATGTGTTTTATGTACCTGAAACAAAAGTGCTGCATGTATTTTTATCCCTTCAGGAAGCTTGTTATTGATGAGTCCTTGATTTTATTCAAAGGAAGACTCTCATTCAAGCAATATATACCAAGCAAGAGGAAACGCTTTGGTATAAAGCTATTTGTACTGTGTGATTGCAGAAGTGGTCTTGTTTTAGATATTATTGTGTACACTGGCAGTAATAACTTTGAGAGATACCATGAAGTTATTGGGTATCTCTGGTGATGTGGTTCGAACAATGATGGAACCATATCTTGGTAAGGGGCATATGTTATTTACTGATAACTGGTACACAAGCCCCTTACTCAGTGATTTCTTGCGAGTGAACTTGACAGACGTGTGTGGCACAGTGCGTGGTAATCGCAAACATATGCCAAGGTTCGACGCTGGCACTCGCAGAGGTGAGGTGCAAGCCTTTGCTGCCAATGACATCATGGCATTTCGGTGGCATGACAAATGTGATGTCACATTGTTGACATCATTCACAGAAACGAAATGGTACCCCAGTGCATGGGACAACAGAGAGACCAATGAACCCATTCTAAAGCCTGCAGCTGTCATGGACTACAACCTCAATATGCGCTTAGTGGACAAATGTGACATGCAGATTGGGTTTGCAGACTGTGTACTCAAGAGTTATAAGTGGTATATCAAACTTTTTTTCCATCTTGTTGATATCTCTATGCTAAATGCTTATAACATATACAAGTTGAAGACCAACAAAACACCAAAATATGGTGAATTTAGCCTGTCAGTAATCAGACAAATAATTGCAAAGTACCAAGGAGCAACTCCTGCAATAGACCAGCGCCCACAGACGTCATCTCGTATGAGGCCTGGTGATCACTACCCCATACTACTGCCTCCTACTACTGCCAAGAAAAATGCTCAGAAGAGGTGTTATGTATGTATGCATACCACAAAACGCCCACAAACATGCAGAGACACTCGTTTTATGTGTGAGGAGTGTGAAGTGCCCCTCTGCATATATCCATGTTTCAAAGAGTTCCACAAGCTGCAGCAGTTCTAGGAATGTGGTTAGTGACTGTACATATGTATATATATTATGGAACAATAGTAATAAACATTGTTTTGTATTGTTTGTTTGTGTAAACAAAGTGTATACACAAACTAATAGTGATAAAGTTTGTTCTGTTATTGTGTTGTAAATAATGAGTGTATATTTGAACAATGCACCTTACATTGGTCTCACAGGCCACATAAGTTACCTGGAAAAGAAAAATATTGAAAAATGCAAGAAACCTTTGAATTAGAGTAAATAAAAGAATACCGGGTGGGCGGCAGTCGCCGCTGTTGCCGTACGCACGTCAATTTCTGCAAACTTTGTGGCTCTATATCTCGGTAAGTACTGATGGCAAAAATTTTTTTTAGGCTTAAAACACTAGTAAAAATATTCCTAACATTTTCATAAGAAAAAATAATTTTTTTTTTTCGAATATTTGGCGACATAGAATGACAGTTTCAGAGAGGGGCCTGAAACAGTCAAGGGTTAAGCAGCCACGGTGTCTAAGACCTACTTTTACCAGGAAGTAGTCTCCCTCTCTTCTACACACCCTAACCTGAGCCTCACTATCCTCATAAAACTCTCTACAGCATTCAGTAACTTACCACCTATTCCATATACCTGCAACATCTGCCACATTGCTCCCCTATCCACTCTATCATATGCCTTTTCTAAATCCATAAATGCAATAAAAATTTCCCTACCTTTATCCATATACTGTTCACATATATGCTTCAATGTAAACACGTGATCTACACATCCCCTACCCACTCTAAAACTTCCTTGCTCATCCGCAATCCTACATTCTGTCTTACCTCTAATTCTTTCCATAATAATCCTACTGTACACTTTTCCTGGTATACTCAGTAAACTTATTCCTCTATAATTTTTACAATCTCTTTTGTCCCCCTTCCTTTTATATAAAGGGACTATACATGCTCTCTGCCAATCCCTAGGTACCTTCCCCTCTTTCATAACATTTATTAAACAAAAATACCAACCACTCCAACACTATATCCTCCCCTGCTTTTAACATTTCTGTCATGATCCCATCAGTTCCAGCTGCTTTACCCACTTTCATTCTACTTAATGTCTCACACACCTCCCCCACACTCACATCCTGCTCTTCTTCACTCCTAAAAGATAGTATACCTCCCTGGCCAGTGCATGAAATTGCTGCCTCCCTTTCTTACATTATTTAAATAAAAAAAATAGAATTTTTAATTACAGTACCCACAATATGAAATGCCTACATATTTATTGTCCATCCCTAATTAAATTCAAATTCAAAATTATGGTGTGCACTTTTTATATTTGTCTAGCCAGATACAAATATTCACTGAACAGAGAAATTTAATGGTCCACACACACATTCTTAACCCTTTCAGGGTCGGCAGGCCCTCTCCTAAACTTGTTCCCAGGGTCGGAAATTTTTCGAGAGAAAAAAAAAAATTCTTGTGAAATGATAGAGAATCTTTTCCCGATCATAATGACCCCAAACGTATGAAATTTGATGGAAAACTTACAGAATTATGCTCTTGCGAAGTTAGCAGTCTCGACGATGTTTATGCATCGGTGATTTTCGCTCACTTTGAGCCCTATTTTCGGCCAATTCCAATGTATCAGTCAACAAAAATCATAACTATTTCGCTAGAATTCCATTTTTTCTATCAAATGAGTACAAGAAACCACCCATTTACCAATTTAAACTATCCATTACTGTGGTCCAAAATTGGTAATTTTGCCAATTCCACACAAATTTCAAAAGATGCCATTTCCAAATAGGGTCCAAATAAACAAGACAGACATTCCTGGCACTAAAATAACATTTCCTCTGTTCATCAGTCACATCCCCAGGCCTCTTACATTTCTTTTGCTTTCCACTTTGAATTTTTATGCAGACTACTGCATTAGTGTAGAAATGGTATAAATAATATCAGCGCACTTGTGAAAGAATATCAGACCTCACCAGTTGACTTGTATTGGATGCATGGCATGTTTTTATTACTTTTGAACTTTGGCAAAAATTGAACATTTTGCTACTTTGAGCTCAATTTAAAGGTACTACTTTTCATTGTGAAACCAATAAAAATAATCTCAATTTCTGTAATACGTCTTCCATTCTATAAAATGAGACCAGGAAAACTAGAATACAACCATCAATAGCATACAAAATACACTGCAAAGTCGCTGTTTTTAAACCAAAAACACGGTCGGAGTTTTTTTTTTTTCTCATTATGCACTCTGTGCTGCAGGATTTTTTTTTATACTGCGCACACTGACCCCCATAGACCCACTCTTTCATATGTAGGCCTAGCACTTTCTCTCGCTAGATTTGAAGGCGCTAGAATTTATGCAAACTAGTACGACACCAACCCTGGAAATGCAAGCCTTACCATAAGGCACCAACCCTGAAAGGGTTAAATCTTGCACTACAGTACTGTATTCCTGAAGTACCAACATAGGAAACTATTTTTTTTTTTTTTTTTAACAAGTTGGCCATCCCTACCGAAGCAGGGTGACCCAAAAAGAAAGTACAGTGGACCCCCGGTTTTACGATATTATTTCATTCCAGAATATGTTCAGGTGCCAGTAACTGACCGAATTTGTTCCATAAGGAATATTGTGAATTAGATTAGTCCATTTCAGACCCCCCAAACATACACATACAAATGCACTTACATAAATACACTTACATAATGGCCCGCACTGGAAACTGATCGTAAACCGGGGGTCCACTATATTTTCATCACATTCAACACTTTCACCTCACTCACACATAATCACTGTTTTTGCAGAGGTGCTCAGAATATAACAGCATATACGAAATAAAGATACACAACATATCCTTCCAAACTGCCAATATCCCAAACCCCTCCTTTAAAGTGCAGACATTGTACTTCCCATTTCCAAGACTCAAGTCCAGCTATATAAAAACTATATAAAAATAACTAATGTATTTATGAAAAATTTAGTTTCCCCTCTTTTCTTCTTCCATCTTGTTAAGTACAGATAATGATGTACATGTCTAACTGTAATACAGTACTGTCTATAAAACTAAAGGATAATACTATAGTACAGTACATGTAAACTGGTCTACCTGTAGCCTTTGATGTAATTTGCAGCATCCAAAATCACCACATCCTCTTTATTCAACAACCTAATAACGTCAGCCTTGAGAGCACCACGTATATCCTTCTCTCGTCTTGAATCTCTAAAGACTTCATTTTTTCCCTGCAATGAAGTACTGAACATAAATACAGTACAATTTTTGAAATTACATTACACGGATGTTAATTTGTAAAAGTTGCTTGTGAAGTGACAAGACATACAACTCTTCTTTAAAGATAACTATATTCTGGCACACTAAACATGATATCCTAAACACTTCTTTTTATATAAGTGATTTTTGATGTGTGACGATTGGTTTGAGTGGGAAGCGGGTTAACAGTTGTTGATCCTCATGCACCAACACTATGTGATGTGTATAATATGTATGTATAGGGGGATCAGTGTGAGCTAGGTGAATAACAGTGGAGTGCAGAAATCCTCATATAAAGTTGTAGCATAATAAAATACAAGTAAAATACCACTGGTTTACAGTAGCTTTTCAGGGACATTTCACACACACTTCAGCATCCACCAGGAAGGCATTTCTACTGAGATACAAATAAGGCTTTTGTTAAAAATGGGTTATAACCTAGCCATACATCATGGCACTGTAGCATACACATGCACTTTACTTACTTTAGCCCAACAGCTATATGGTCAGCATGTGGTGAAAATGTTATATCCTGTTTCAGATAGTACAGGGCTCACAGATTCCCTTCAAGGATGGGCCGATATAAAATTTTTGCCAATACTGTACCAGTGCTTAATTTTTTGGCCAATAATGATACCCACTGAAACTGGTACCAATACCATGAAAATTAGCCAATACCTGCTGACATCTATACTGATACAGGAGGGCCCCACTTATACAGCAGGTCAGGTTCCGAGCTACTGCTCCGAAGTGAATATCGCTGTGAAGTGAAACAGCCTTTTTTCATTTTCAAATGCATATAAAAAGCCTGATAACATGTTTACACTATCATATAGTATTATGTGAGCAATAGAGCTAGTCCTAAAAAAATGCATATACAGTACACACGTAACTTACCTTAAAAAATATTTTTGTTTTTAGTTTATAGCAAGTGGTAAATCTGTTTATTGTAGGAAGTCTGAATAAATGAAGAATGAGTATAATTGAAAACCACTGCATTAGCAAAATGCTGTAAAGTGAAGCACTGTAAAGTGGTGCCCTAATGTACTTTGATACATCCCTAATAATTACTGTATACTGTATTTTGTATATAGCACTACTGTCTTCAAATTATGTCCTAGAATACGCATTGATAAAGCCACTGGATGGCGAAACATCTACAATAAAGAAACTCAGATGTTGCACATGCGTCTCAGTTTTCATCTTGTCGGTATTGTATACCATTCTTGTACATACTGTATTTATTTAGGAATGCACTAAAACTGTAGCAGTCACACAGCACTTGGGAAGTGGAGACAAATCAGCTTTTATCCAAAGAGGAGGACAAGTCCAATTCCTTGGATCAAGGAAGGGGAGGATAAGTTCATGTTTTCATGTCTTAGATCATGTGCCCCCTCACCAGCATCAAGGAAGCTTCCTTCACTGGATAGTGGTGGCTTAACTTTTAACTTACAAACATCCTTAACTAAGTCATGCCATAAGTAAATGATGACCAAACACTAAAATTTTTTAAATGAGTAACAGTGATGATGGTCAAATTTATAGCCGTTTTTTGAATATACTGATTTTAATTAAGTTTCTACAATAGTTGCACTAAACCATAAATTTACTGTATATTTATATCATTAGTGAAATATGAAAAACTGGTATAGTAATAATGAAGATCCAGTCCTTTTGCGAGTTTATGTTATGCAAATGTAAAACATGTTACCTAATCTAATGAAACCAACCTAAAATAACTACACCTTACTCTGCATGTGGTACATATGGGGCCAGTTTATCTTTCTTAAATTCAATATTTCTCTGTTTACATTATTAGTGTTAGGTGCCCCATGGCCTGGTGGCAAAAGGTCTCACTTCACATGGTGAGGGTCCGGGTTCGACTCCCGGCAAAGTGGTGGAAACATCGGACATGTTTCCTTACACCGGTTGTCTATGTTCACTTTTCAGTAAAATGGGTACCTGGGTGCTAGTCGACTGGTGCGAGTCGCATCCTGGGACAAAACCGACCTAATTTGCCCGAAATGCTCTGCATAACAAGGGGCTTTCTATATTTTTTTTTTTTATTATCACACTGGCCGATTCCCACCAAGGCATGGTGGCCCAAAAAAGAAAAACTTTCACCATCATTCACTCCATCACTGTCTTGCCAGAAGGGTGCTTTACACTACAGTTTTTAAACTGCAACATTAACACCCCTCCTTCAGAGTGCAGGCACTGTACTTCCCATCTCCAGGACTCAAGTCCGGCCTGCCGGTTTCCCTGAATCCCTTCATAAATGTTACTTTGCTCACACTCCAACAGCACGTCAAGTATTAAAAACCATTTGTCTCCATTCACTCCTATCAAACACGCTCACGCATGCCTGCTGGAAGTCCAAGCCCCTCGCACACAAAACCTCCTTTACCCCCTCCCTCCAACCTTTCCTATGCCGACCCCTACCCCGCCCCTTCCTTCCACTATAGACTGATACACTCTTGAAGTCACTCTGTTTCGCTCCATCTCTCCTACATGTCCGAACCACCTCAACAACCCTTCCTCAGCCCTCTGGACAACAGTTTTGGTAATCCCGCACCTCCTCCTAACTTCCAAACAACGAATTCTCTGCATTATATTCACACCACACATTGCCCTCAGACATGACATCTCCACTGCCTCCAGCCTTCTCCTCGCTGCAACATTCATCACCCATGCTTCACACCCATATAAGAGCGTTGGTAAAACTATACTCTCATACATTCCCCTCTTTGCCTCCAAGGACAAAGTTCTTTGTCTCCACAGACTCCTAAGTGCACCACTCACCCTTTTCCCCTCATCAATTCTATGATCCACCTCATCCTTCATAGACCCATCCGCTGACACATCCACTCCCAAATATCTGAATACATTCACCTCCTCCATACTCTCTCCCTCCAATCTGATATCCAATCTTTCATCACCTAATCTTTTTGTTATCCTCATAACCTTACTCTTTCCTGTATTCGCTTTTAATTTTCTTCTTTTGCTCACCTTACCAAATTCATCCACCAATCTCTAAACTTCTCTTCAGAATCTCCCAAGAGCACAGTGTCATCAGCAAAGAGCAACTGTGACAACTCCCACTTTATGTGTGATTCTTTAACTTTTAACTCCACACCTCTTGCCAAGACCCTCGTATTTACTTCTCTTACAACCCCATCTATAAATATATTAAACAACCACGGTGACATCACACATCCTTGTCTAAGGCCTACTTTTACTGGGAAATAATTTCCCTCTTTCCTACATACTCTAACTTGAGCCTCACTATCCTCATAAAAACTCTTCACTGCTTTCAGTAACCTACCTCCTACACCATACTCCTGCAACATCTGCCACATTGCCCCCCCTATCCACCCTGTCATACGCCTTTTCCAAATCCATAAATGCCACAAAGACCTCTTTAGCCTTATCTAAATACTATTCACTTATACAGTGGACCCCCGGTTAACGATTTTAATCCGTGCAAGAGGGATAATTGTTATGCGAAATAATCGTTATGCGAATGAATTTTCCCCATAAGAAATAATGGAAATAAAATTAATCCGTGCAAGACGCCCAAAAGTATGAAAAAAATTTTTTTTACCACATGAAATGTTAATTTTAATACACACAAACTGAAAAAGGCATGCACAATTAAATGACACTTACTTTTATTGAAGATCTGGTGATGATTGATGGGATGGGAGGAGGGGAGAGCATTATCTTCTTACTGTTTAGAAGGGGAATCCCCTTCCATTAGGACTTGAGGTAGTAAGTCCTTTTCTGGGGTTACTTCCCTTCTTTTTTTAATGCCACTAGGGCCAGCTTCAGAGTCACTGGACTTCTTTCGCACAAGATATCTGTCCATAGTGGCCTGTACCTCTCGTTCCTTTATGACTTCCCTAAAGTGTTTCACAACATTGTCAGTGTAATAATCACCAGCAACGGCTTTGCAATAGCTGTGTGAGGGTGATTTTCATCCATGAAGGTTTGCACTTCAAGCCACTTAGCACAGATTTCCTTTATCTTTGTAGTAGGCAACTTCTTCAATTTCTCTCTCTCCCCCTCCTCTGAACCAGTTTCCCCAGGTCTGGCCTCTTGCTCTTGAAGTTGATCTATCAGCTCATCAGTGGTTAGTTCTTCATTGTCCTCCTCCACCAACTCTTCCACATCCTCCCCACTAACCTCCAACCCCAAGGACTTTCCCAATGCCACAATGGATTCCTCAACTGGCACAGGATTCTCAGGTTAGCCTCAAACCCTTCAAAATCCCTTTTGTCTACACATTCTGGCCACAGTTTCTTCCAAGCAGAGTTCAAGGTCCTCTTAGTCACTTCCTCCCAAGCCTTACCTATAAGGTTTACACAATTGAGGATATTAAAGTGATCTCTCCAAAACTCTCTTAGAGTCAGTTGAGTTTCTGAGGTCATTACAAAGCACCTTTCAAACAGAGCTTTTGTGTACAGTTTCTTGAAGTTGGAAATAACCTGCGGGTTTCCATGGGCTGCAGGAGAGGAGTGGTATTAGGAGACAAAAACTTCACCTTAAATGAAGCTCATGTCCCCATAAAGTCGCTCTGCCACGTCTGTAGGATGACCAGGGCATTGTCTAACACCAGGAGGCACTTAAGTTCTAATTTCTTTTCAGTTTAGGTAATTTTTCACATTGGGGGCAAATGCATGGTGTAACCAGTTATAGAAAAATTCCCTAGTGACCATGCCTTACTGTTTGCCCTCCACAGCACACCAAATTATCCTTGAGGACATTCTTTTGCCTGAACGCTCTGGGAGTTTCAGAGTGATACACTAAATAAAGGCTTCACTTTGCAATCACCAGTAGCATTGGCACACATCAACAAAGTAAGCCTGTCTTTCATAGGTTTTATGTCCTGGGAGTGCCTTTTCCTCCTGAGTAATGTAGGTCCTGCTTGGCATTTTCTTCCAGAACAGGCCTGTTTCATCACAATTAAACACTTGTTCAGGTTTCAGTCCTTCAGTTTCTATGTACTTCCTTGAATTCCTGCACATATTTTTCAGCCGCTTTGTGGTCCGAACTGGGGAGCCTCACCATGCCCTTTTCACACTATGGATGCCACTACGCTTCTTAAATCTCTCAAACCAACCTTTGCTGGCCTTAAATTCACTCACAACATCACTAGTTGCAGGCATTTTTTTAATTAAATCCTCATGCAACTTCCTAGCCTTTTCACAAATGATCGCTTGAGAGATGCTATCTCCTGCTAGCTGTTTTTCATTTATCCACACCAATAAGAGTCTCTCAACATCTTCCATCAAATTGCGATCTTTGTTTCGAAAACACAGTTGAACCTTTGGCAAAACAGCTTCCTTGATTGTCTTTCTGGTGCCCACAATAGTAGCGATGGTTTGATTGGGGTTTCTTGTACAGCTTGACTAGGTCGGCTATACGCATCCACTTTCATACTTATCAATTATCTCTTCTTCATTTCTATAGTAATTCTTACCCTTTGAGGTGTAGGGTTGGCACTAGAAGCTTTCTTGGGGCCCATGGTCACTTATTTTCCAGAAACAGCACCGAAAATACTGTAATAATACGAAATATTCCGAGTGTATGCTTGGATGTTACCGCGGAGGCTGGCTGGTAAACAATGGGACGGCCGGCACATGTGAGGCTGGCTGAGGGCACATTGGACGCGTCTCGGACGAAAATCGGTAAGCGGGTTTTTAATCGGTATGCGCGGCAAAAATTTTGCGATAAAAGTAATCGGTATGCGGAAAAATCGCTATGTGATGCCATCGTTATGCGGGGGTCCACTGTATGTTTCACTGTAAACACCTGGTCCACACACCCCCTACCTTTCCTAAAGCCTCCTTGTTCATCTGCTATCCTATTCTCCGTCTTACTCTTAATTCTTTCAATAATAACTCTACCATACACTTTACCAGGTATACTCAACAGACTTATCCCCCTATAATTTTTGCACTCTCTTTTGTCCCCTTTGCCTTTATACAAAGGAACTATGCATGCTCTCTGCCAATCCCTAGGTACCTTACCCTCTTCCATACATTTATTATATAATTGCACCAACCACCAAAACTATATCCCCACCTGCTTTTAACATTTCTATCTTTATCCCATCAATCCCGGCTGCCTTACCCCCTTTCATTTTACCTACTGCCTCACGAACTTCCCCCACACTCACAACTGGCTCTTCCTCACTCCTTTCTATATGTAGTAGTACATATGTCACTGATGTCATCTATGGTCTGTATACCTTGTACATGTACTTGTAGTAAATAAAGATATTATAATACTAACCGCTGATTTGCCCTGATATGCTGTACATCCTAAAATAAATATTTTTATCTCTCTCAAAATAACAATTTGCAAAAGAAATAATTTGTGTTGGGCATAAATACCATGTTAGTAAGTATTTAAAAATAAATGAGGAACTTGTCAAAAGGACTGGATCTCCATTTAGTTGAAAAATTAAAAAATAGGATTAAGCATATGAGCATATTAGGCACACTGATGACAAGTTATGAAAGTTTAATACTCACCTCACCAAGTAAATTGTTCTCACTGACAACCACAACATTCTTATTCTTCTCTTTCTCTAAGTAAGTTTTTATCTGAAGTGTTCTTGTGGTCTTTCCAGAGGAGGGGAAGCCAGAGACCAGCAGAAGAGGCATCCTTCTTCCTGCTTCCAGATACTTGTAGTTTATCTTCTATTTTTATATTCATGGGGTGGCACTAAACCTGTAAAGGTCATACATTATTATTATCAAAGCTAAGCACTAAATCACCAGGGTCATACAGTGTAAGGATCATACAGGTAGTTATTACATTTGATCAGAGGAAATTGCTCTTCTTTAGGACACAAGCAATTTCCTCAGAGGTTTCTGACAGCACCAGTCATGTTGGGCAAGTATATGTTTATTTAGGTACAATTACACACTAAGTACAATTACAAAAGTTTCAGGTGATTACAAATGTATTATATATTTACATATGTGTAGATTACCTAGGATATTGTTGTCAGCGCAAGCAGTGTGGGAATCACCGTGCCATTGTGATGCTGGCTCTTGCTGTCAACTTCTTCTCTTGGATAAATGTACGTACTTTGTTTAGAGGGTCACTTCTCCTTATGAGTGCATGAATTGTGACTTGTTTGCTACTTAAAGTGCTTCAACAGCGACATTATCAGCAGCATGAAGAGTGCCTCCAGGTGTGCTGGTTGAGCAGTACAATAAGTGTCTTCAGTTGTGTAAAGTAAAAGGACACAAGTGCCACTAATGTGACATTTTATTGTGGCAACGTTTCGCTCTCCAGGAGCTTTGTCAAGCTCCTTGCATTTGTCTTTAGCTGTTAGTTCAGCAGTAGGTAGTAAAGTGTCTCTGATTGTTGGTTCAGCAGCAGATAGTAAAGTGTCTCTGATTGTTGGTTCAGCAGTAGGTAGTAAAGTGTCTCTAGGTGTTAGTTCAGCAGTAGGTAGTAAAGTGTCTCTAGTTGTTGGTTCAGCAGTAGGTAGTAAAGTGTCTCTAGGAGTTAGTTCAGCAGTAAGTAGTTAAGTGTCTCTAGTTGTAGGTTCAGCAATAGGTAGTAAAGTGTCTCTAGGTGTTAGTTTGGCAGTAGGTAGTCAAGTGTCTCTAGGTGTTAGTTCAGCAGTAGGTAGTAAAGTGTCTCTAGCTGTTAGTTCAGCAGTAGGTAGTAAAGTGTCTCTAGGTGTTAGTTCAGCAGTAGGTAGTAAAGAGTCTTTAGCTGTTAGTTCAGCAGTAGCCAGTAAAGTGTCTCTAGCTGTTAGTTCAGCAGTAGGTAGTAAAGTGTCTGCTTCTAGCTGATTTACTGATTCAGCAGTAGGTAGTAAAGTGTCTCTAGCTGTTAGTTCAGCAGTAGGTAGTAAAGTGTCTAGTTGTTAGTTCGGCAGTAGGTAGTAAAGTGTCTCTAGCTGTTACTTCAGCAGTAGGTAGTAAAGTGTCTAGTTGTTAGTTCGGCAGTAGGTAGTAAAGTGTCTCTAGCTGTTACTTCAGCAGTAGGCAGTAAAGTGTCTAGCTGTTAGTTCAGCAGTAGGCAGTAAAGTGTCTCTAGCTGTTAGTTCAGCAATAGGTAGTAAAGTGTCTAGTTGTTAGTTCGGCAGTAGGTAGTAAAGTGTCTCTAGCTGTTAGTTCAGCAGTAGGTAAAGTGTCTCTAGCTGTTACTTCAGCAGTAGGTAGTAAAGTGTCTCTAGCTGTTACTTCAGCAGTAGGTAGTAAAGTGTCTCTAGCTGTTACTTCAGCAGTAGGCAGTAAAGTGTCTCTAGCTGTTAGTTCAGCAGTAGGTAGTAAAGTGTCTAGTTGTTAGTTCAGCAGTAGGTAGTAAAGTGTCTCTAGCTGTTACTTCAGCAGTAGGCAGTAAAGTGTCTCTAGCTGTTAGTTCAGCAGTAGGTAGTAAAGTGTATCTAGCTGTTACTTCAGCAGTAGGTAGTAAAGTGTCTCTAGCTGTTACTTCAGCAGTAGGCAGTAAAGTGTCTCTAGCTGTTAGTTCAGCAGTAGGCAGTAAAGTGTCTCTAGCTGTTAGTTCAGCAGTAGGTAGTGTCTCTAGCTGTTAGTTCAGCAGTAGGTAGTAAAGTGTCTCTAGCTGTTACTTCAGCAGTAGGCAGTAAAGTGTCTCTAGCTGTTAGTTCAGCAGTAGGCAGTAAAGTGTCTCTAGCTGTTAGTTCAGCAGTAGGTAGTGTCTCTAGCTGTTAGTTCAGCAGTAGGTAGTAAAGTGTCTCTAGCTGTTAGTTCAGCAGTAGGTAGTAAAGTGTCTCTAGCTGTTAGTTCAGCAGTAGGTAGTGTCTCTAGCTGTTAGTTCAGCAGTAGGTAGTGTCTCTAGCTGTTAGGTCAGCAGTAGGTAGTGTCTCTAGCTGTTAGTTCAGCAGTAGGTAGTGTCTCTAGCTGTTAGTTCAGCAGTAGGCAGTAAAGTGTCTCTAGCTGTTACTTCAGCAGTAGGCAGTAAAGTGTCTCTAGCTGTTACTTCAGCAGTAGGCAGTAAAGTGTCTCTAGCTGTTACTTCAGCAGTAGGCAGTAAAGTGTCTCTAGCTGTTACTTCAGCTGTAGGCAGTAAGTGTCTCTAGCTGTTGGTTCAGCAGTAGGTAGTAAAGTGTCTCTAGCTGTTACTTCAGCAGTAGGCAGTAAAGTGTCTCTAGTTGTTACTTCAGCAGTAGGCAGTAAAGTGTCTCTAGCTATTACTTCAGCAGTAGGCAGTAAAGTGTCTCTAGCTGTTACTTCAGCTGTAGGCAGTAAAGTGTCTCTAGCTGTTGGTTCAGCAGTAGGTAGTAAAGTGTCTCTAGCTGTTACTTCAGCAGTAGGCAGTAAAGTGTCTCTAGCTGTTAGTTCAGCAGTAGGCAGTAAAGTGTCTCTAGCTGTTAGTTCAGCAGTAGGTAGTAGTGTCTCTAGCTGTTAGTTCAGCAGTAGGTAGTAGTGTCTCTAGCTGTTAGTTCAGCAGTAGGTAGTAAAGTGTCTCTAGCTGTTAGTTCAGCAGTAGGTAGTAGTGTCTCGCTAGTAGCTGTTAGTTCTAGCTTAGCAGTAGGTAGTAAAGTGTCTCTAGCTGTTAGTTCAGCAGTAGGTAGTAGTGTCTCTAGCTGTTAGTTCAGCAGTAGGTAGTAGTGTCTCTAGCTGTTAGTTCAGCAGTAGGTAGTAGTGTCTCTAGCTGTTAGTTCACCAGTAGGTAGTAGTGTCTCTAGCTGTTAGTTCAGCAGTAGGTAGTAGTGTCTCTAGCTGTTAGTTCAGCAGTAGGTAGTAGTGTCTCTAGCTGTTAGTTCAGCAGTAGGTAGTAAAGTGTCTCTAGCTGTTAGTTCAGCAGTAGGTAGTAGTGTCTCTAGCTGTTAGTTCAGCAGTAGGTAGTAAAGTGTCTCTACCTGTTAGTTCAGCAGTAGGTAGTAAAGTGTCTCTAGCTGTTAGTTCAGCAGTAGGTAGTAAAGTGTCTCTAGCTGTTAGTTCAGCAGTAGGCAGTAAAGTGTCTCTAGCTGTTAGTTCAGCAGTAGGCAGTAAAGTGTCTCTAGCTGTTAGTTCAGCAGTAGGTAGTAAAGTGTCTCTAGCTGTTAGTTCAGCAGTAGGTAGTAAAGTGTCTCTAGCTGTTAGTTCAGCAGTAGGTAGTAAAGTGTCTCTAGCTGTTAGTTCAGCAGTAGGTAGTGTCTCTAGCTGTTAGTTCAGCAGTAGGTAGTGTCTCTAGCTGTTAGTTCAGCAGTAGGTATAAAGTGCCCTGCTGTTACTTTCAGCAGTGGGTTTAGTGTCTCTAGCTGTTATTCAGCAGTAGGTAGTAAAGTGTCTCAGCGTTACTTCACAGTAGGTAGTAAAGTGTCTCTAGCTGTTAGTTCAGCAGTAGGTAGTAAAGTGTCTCTAGCTGTTACTTCAGCAGTAGGTAGTAAAGTGTCTCTAGCTGTTAGTTCAGCAGTAGGGTAGTAAATTTGCTCTATCTGTTATTTCAGCAGTAGGATAAAGTGTCTCTACTGTTACTTCAGCATGGTATAAAGTGTCTCTAGCTGTTACTTCAGCAGTAGGTAAAAGTGTCCCTAGCTGTTAGTTCAGCAGTAGGTAGTAAAGTGTCTCTAGCTGTTAGTTCAGCAGTAGGTAGTAAAGTGTCTCTAGCTGTTACTTCAGCAGAAGGTAGTAAAGTGTCTCTAGCTGTTAGTCGCTGTATAGCCCTTGTGGCTTAGCGCTTCTTTTTGATTATAATAATAATAATAATCTAGCTGTTAGTTCAGCAGTAGGCAGTAAAGTGTCTCCAGTTGTGTTGGTTGAGTGATGTTTGGTGTCACTACAGTAATAATATCCTCACCTCCGTCACACTCAGCTGTGCTCAGCCTCTCACACTACCTCCTTCATCAACCTTTTTTCAGGAATTATAACAATAAATCTAATTATGGTAACAATACATTTTTTAACTAAAATATTATTGATTTCGTCATATAAATTTATGGTGAAATATTTATGATTCCGTCGTAATACGTTAGAACTTTTTAAAACCCTAAATATGTTTAAATAATAAATAATTTATTTCCTAAGGTCGTAGTACGTAATTAAATTCAGGGGGCATTGCAAAAATTCGTACTTTTACATCTACTTATATACAATATAACTTATATGTAAATTACCAAAAAGATCCCTTTAATAAAGTCAATGACTTTTACTTCAATACTTTATGTGTCCTGTATTTCTTCGGGAGGTTCAAGTGGCGTTAAGTATACATTCATTTAACTATATAAAGTAAAATATATATAATATAATATATATATATATATATATATATATAATATATAATAATTATTATATATATATATATATATATATTAATATATATATAAAATATATATAATATTATATAAATATATATATATAATATATATATATATATATATATATATATATAATAATCATATAGTCGGCCCTTGGTCCGGAAATGGAAGTACAAGCCTCACTTTAAAGGAGGGTTTGGGATATTTGGCAGTTTGGAGGGATATTGTTTGTATCTTATACTATATCTTCTAAACTTTGTATTCTGAGCACCTCTGCAAAAGCAGTGATAATGTTTTGAGTGTGGTAAAGTGTTTAAATGATATTGAAAGTATTTTCTTTTGGGGATTTTCTTTCTTTTTTGGGTACCCTCCTCGTTTGGAGACGGCCGACTTGTTAAATAAAAAAAAAAAAAAAAAAATAGATATAAAATATATATATATATATTATATATAAAATTTATATATATATATATATAATATATTATATATATATATATAATATATATATATATATATATATATATATATATATATATATAATATATATATATATATATATATATATATATATAATATATATATATATATATATATATATATATATATATATATGTTCACATATCTACAGTTTTTAAGCAGGGTATATGGGTATATAGCTGTCTATATAATATATACACTACCAAGTATACTACATTACAAGGACCCCAATGGAAATCACTTTGTCTGACCTTTTTAGGCTATCTTGGTGGGTAATTTACACATATGTTACTATGTATGATAATTGTAGTTATATGGATATGTATCTAAATAAGCTTACTTATGCTTTTTCTGGTAAATGGCTCTTGGTCTGAGGAATTTGAGTTAGGATAACTCTCCTTGATAGACATCTGATTATCTTGTCTCCTGATGATGACTCCTACGAGTTTAGCGCTTCACCGTAAATTTCATAATAACAATCTTTGTTGTCATAACATAAAAAAAATCAACTAAATAGACAATAACAAAAAATAAGTGTGATTTCTTTGATGGTGTACCTATTACTTTAGGCTGCGCCTCTCTTTAACATTAATTTAAATAACTCAGTTTCCGCATCTCTTTTTATTGTAACTTATTTTCACACAGTTGAGTTACTTAGCTGTTTTAACTTTTAAGATTTAAATAATAAGATATTACAAGGACCCCAATGGAAATAAGTCACTTTGTCTGACTTTTAGAGTTATCCAAGACAATTACACATGATGTATGATAATTGCACTTTATTTAGGAACAGGTACACATAAGTACAATTATCATACATAATGTAAATTACCCACGATAACCCCCCAAAAAAGTCAGTGGCTTATTTCCACTAGGGTTCCACTTGGGGTTCTGAATAAACTTACCAATGGAAATAAGCCACTTTGCCTTACTTTTTTGGATTATCCTAGGTAATTTACACTATGTATGTTAACTGCGTTTATATATACCTTGTTATTACAAGGACCCCAGTGAAAATAAGTCACTTTAACTATTTTGGAAGGTTATCCAAGGTAATCTACACATATGCTGCTATGTATAATTTATATAACTATATATGTATACCTGTACCTGAATAAACTTACTCATGCCAGTGATGATACGTAGACCTGTATACCTTGTAGAAATAAAGATATTATTATAAATTTACTAAGCTGGTGATGTGAGAATATAATGCAAAATCTAAAGGAAAACATATGCGCAAAATCCAGATTATTTTAGATGTTACAAGAACGAGGGAAGACTTTGTTTACCTGACAGTGAGAATGGCGACAGGGAGGGGAGCCTTGTCTCTTCTCCAGAGTTACAGCTCCGATAGCGATGGTGACTCCGGCTACACCAGCGAGGATGAGAAAAAGAGAAAGCACGAGTTCAGCAATCCTCATGAGCGTAAGAGTAAGAGGCGCAGAGCTGAGGATGAGGAGGAAATGGCGGTGGATACCCCGTCATCTTCGTGCCGTGCAGGACACCAGCCTGGAGCAGTGTCGTCCTGTGAGACCATGATGAGTGATGGTTACCACCCTCGACCCACCGACCACACCATGGACACTACCTCACACCAAGTGCACAGCAGGAGGTGGGTCAGGGTCCTGGGGTGAGTGAGGCTCCAGGGGGTGATAAGGATCGTGCGGTGAATAAGGGTTAAGGGGTGAGTGAGAGTCAAGGGGTGGGTAAGGGTCTAGGGGTGATTGAGGGTCGTGAGGTTAAAGGGTGACTAAGGGTCGTGGGGTAAGTGAGGGCTGTGAGGTGGGTAAGTGTGAGGTTCAACAACAACTCTCACAAGTTTACCTGGAGTTTACCTGGAGAGAGTTCCGGGGGTCAACGCCCCCGCTGCCCGGTCTGTGACCAGGCCTCCTGGTGGATCAGAGCCTGATCAACCAGGCTGTTGCTGCTGGCTGCATGCAAGCCAACGTACGAGCCACAGCCCGGCTGGTCAGGAACCGACTTTAGGTGCTTGTCCAGTGCCAGCTTGAAGACTGCCAGGGGTCTGTTGGTAATCCCCCTTATGTATGCTGGGAGGCAGTTGAACAGTCTCGGGGCCCCTGACACTTATTGTATGGTCTCTTAACGTGCTAGTGACACCCCTGCTTTTCATTGCGGAGATGTTGCATCGTCTGCCAAGTCTTTTGCTTTCGTAGTGAGTGATTTTCGTGTGCAAGTGTCAAGGTTATACTCACAGTTGTCAGGGTTTTAATCACATGTATTTCAGGTGTGAAGATTCACGTGACATGTGTTGCAAGTTTGAAAGTTTACATTGCAAGTGTTGCAAATGAGTAGCATGGGTTAGTAAGTAAGCTTATTTAGGTACACTTACACATAAGAAATATTATCATACCTTTTTAACATATGTATAAAGTCAGACAAAGTGACTTTTGTTGAAATGAAATTCTGGTCAGTATTAGAAATAAAAACTCTTGGTTAGCAATGCTCTAGCCTCACATACTGAGTGTCCATGGTTCGATCCCTGGCCAGGTGGAAATGCTGGGTATGTTTCCTTACACCTGCTGTCCCTGTTCACCTAGCAGTAAGTAGGTATCTCGGTGTTAGTCACCTTACACCTGCTGTCCCTGTTCACCTAACAGTAAGTAGGTATCTCGATGTTAGTCACCTTACACCTGCTGTCCCTGTTCACCTAGCAGTAAGTACCTGGGTGTTAGTCGACTGGTGTGGGTCACATCCTGGGGGGAGAAGATCGAAGGACCACAATGGAAATAAGACAGACAGTCCTTGGATGCACTGACTTTCTTGGGTTATCCTGGGTGGCTAACTCTCAAGGTTAAAAATCCAAGCAGTCATATCTTGATCTAATATGACTCACGAAATCGTAATGACACGATTGCAAACAAACCATACCACGGGCGGGATTTGAACCCGCCCGTGGTATGGTATGATATTAATAATTACAAAAAGAAAGGTGAAATGAGAATCTATGAGGATACTTCAAGAAAACAGGGATATTAGATCAAACCATACCACGGGCGGGATTTGAACCCGCGGTCAGAGAGTCTCAAAACTCTCTGACCGCGGGTTCAAATCCCGCCCATGGTATGGTTTGATCTAATATCCCTGTTTTCTTGAAGTATCCTCATAGATTCTCATTTCACCTTTCTTTTTGTAATTATTAGTATCAATAGCAATCCTTTTGAATGCCATGATTAATGGATATGTTGCTTTGTATACTTAATTATTAAAGTTGTGTATGAGGTTGGAGGTTGAATAAAGTACATTCTCATTATCTTTTCCAGAACTATACCTCTACCAAGTGAACTGTTAGTGTCAAGAGAGGGCCATGTTGATGACCCAAGGGAGCATCAGGGAAGAGTCCGATCATTTCCCCATGAACGGGGTAACTGGGCATCAATTTTATATGTCCCCTGTACGTAATTTTTATTTGTTATGTTTGTACTGTATAGGAAAGCCAAATACAATATACAAAGAGTGCTTGGTTCTGGTAACCCAACTGACCAATCCTGCATTAATGATTCTCAGAAGTATATATTCTATTGGCAGGAACATGCTAAATGCTTAGTATATGCTCCACAGTCATATGAGCATATGCTTCATAATCATGAAAATATGATTCAAACTCTGGAAATTATGCCTAATGTGATTCATATGCAGGATAATGTTTCATGATCTTGAAAATGTGCTTCATACTCAGGACAATCAAGTATGAAGGTGATTCATACTTAGGAAAATGTTTCATGCACAGGGAAAATATGATTAATGCTTATTAAAGTATGCTTCATTCTCAGGACAATGTGATTCAGTTTGCTGAACATATGCTTGATGCTTGGGAAGATGGTCCATTTTCATTGGTCTTTAATATATTCTTTGTGCTCAAGAAAATATAATTGATGATTAAGCACATATGAACCATGCTCAGGATATTATGCTATGTAGAACATTCTCCATGGGTACACTCACCTCTAGTAGTATTTTTGTTCACTTATGCCAGACATTAGGTTTAACAACCATTCTTCCCAAAAATTTTAATAAATATTAAATTTTATGATCTGTGCAGTTTTATGCATAGCTTCTGCATTAGGGAAGATTTAACAGAACTTACATCTACATTTTGTACCTGTCTGTCATAAATGTTGAGTTCATCCTGTTATTAATGTATGGTTTTTTGATAACCAGAATAGCTGATAATACAGTGAAGGTAATAGGTATGATAATAATAAACATTATTAAGAAGTATTAATACTGTATGGGAAATTAACAGCAAATTATTTTTGCAGTGCATCTAGGAATATACGGGCCAAGTTTTGCATCTTTTATGGCCTCATTGGTTGCCACATGTCAAGAGCAAAATGTGATACTTAACCCTTCATCAGATCTTCACATATCTCTAACACGAACGCTTATACTTCATCTTCACTGGATTCAACCATTAACAGAAGACCTCAGAGCAAGACTAAGCCAAATTTCCAAGTAAGTGACAGCTTTGCATTCAAATCTGCATGTGAAGCTAGGTTACGTTTTTGTAACACTGTATGCACACTGTTAAACAAGATAGAATTGTGACAGACACTTTCATCATCACTCAATACATAATCACAGTCTTTGCAAAGGTGCTCAAATACAACAGTTTATATATCCCTCCAAACTGCCAATATCCCAGACACTTCCTTTAAAGTACAGGCATTGTATTTCCCATTTCCAGGACTCAAGTCCAGCTAACTGGTTTCCTTGAATTCCTCCACAAAATATTACCCTGCTCATGCTCCAACAGCTTGTTAGGCCCCAAAAACCACTTGTCTCCATTCACTCCTATCTAACACGCTCACACACGCTTGCTGGAAGTCCATGCCCCTCACCCACAAAACCTCCTTTACCTCATCCCTCCAACCTTTTCGGGGATGACCCCTACCCTGCCTTCCTTTCCCTACAGAGTTATATGCTCTCCAAATCATTCTACTTTGTTCTATTCTCTCTAAATTACCAAACTACCATAGCTCCTCTGATAATACTGTTAGTATTCCACACCTCCTAATTTCCATACTATGAATTCTCTGCATGATATTTATACTACACATTGCCCTTAGACAGGACATCTCCACTGCCTACAGCCACCTCCTCACTGCAGCATTTACAACCCATGCTTCACACCCATATAAGAGTGTTGGTACACTGTACTCTTGTACATTCCCTTCCTTGCCTCCATGGATAACGTTTTTTGTCTCCACAGGTACCTCAACACACCGCTCGCCTTTTTTCCTTCATCATTTCTATGGTTAACCTCATCCCTCATAAACCAATCCACTGACAAGTCACCTTCCTAATATCTAAAAACATTCACTTCTTCTGTACTCCCTCCCTCCATTGTAACATCCAATTTTTCTTTATCTAAGTTTTTTGATACCCTCATCACCTTATCCTTATCTATGTTCACTTTCAACTTTCTACCTTTACACACACACACATTCACAAAAAAATAATAGTTAATATTTATCTTATATTTTCAGATTTTCTTTGTGGTTACATGGTTTAAGTGTGTATGTTAATGATGAGCAGACCCGAACGTTTTTGGGGCTGCGAGTGTGCCATGGCCGTAATGAGTTAGCAGACATAGTATCTGAGGTAGACAAGTGTCTAGTGGAATACAGACTGCCACTCTTCTTTAAGGTGAGTTAAAATGGTTAGACCTTATTGCAGTTTACAGAAAATTTTATTAGAATTCTCTCAATATCAATAAATGACGTACCATTTACAGCACTATTAAAGCAGCTCATGCATAGGGGGTTAAACTGAAGGAAAGCCCAAAACTTGAGTTCATATGACTTGGTATTTGGAGGATGTAATACAGTAATAGTATACAGCTCTGAAGAGTTGTATAATAGGAATGTCTAGATTTATTATTATTATTATTAGTAGTAGTAGTATTAATAATCAGATAAGCACCAAACATGTATCAGTTATGCAGTGCCTTGGGAATGGGAGGTCATGATCCAAGAGGAAATAGCTTCAATTCCTTAGATCAAGAACCTTTCACCAGCATCAAGGCTGGAATACCTGGAGGAGAGACTTCTGTTAAATATTGCAAATAAATAAGATAAGCGTGTTCATTCACAAACACAATACAGGTTGGCCATCACTAATCCGGCAGTCAGTTATCTGGTTCCATCAGTAATCCGGCACTAATTTCAACTAGCATAATTTTAAATTTCATCATTATACTGACTCAAATTTCATCATTATACTGACTCAGAAATTGTGCAGATGGTTGTAAATCCACAACAGCAAGCCAGTAGAGGAGAAACCAGTGATGAAAATGAGGAAGATGTAGCAGAAAGAGTCTATTGATAGGTTAATTAAGCGTATTCTAACCTAACCACTCTGTAATCCGGCAAACTCACTAATCCAGCGCACTACAGGTCCCAATGATGCCGGATTAGTGATGGCCGACCTGTAGTCATTTATAGCAAGTTATAAATTAAGCCATATGGTATGAAAAGCCATCATCTTTATTATTATTATTATTATTTTTCTATTAGGGGGAAGTGATAACCCTATAGAGCCTGGGAAATGGGAAGTAATCTGGTTTGATTTGAGGAAGGGGAGAACTAGTTCAATTCCTTGGATCAAGAGCATCTCACCAGCATCAAGACATCATGAGGGGTAACATTTTATACAGCTAAGGAAGAACAAAGTAATGTGTATTGTACACTACACAGACACATGTGTGGATTAGTTTAGAATGAATTTACAAAACTAATTTTTTTTTTTTTTCAAAATATTTTTTTTTTTATTATCACACTGGCCGATTCCCACCAAGGCAGGGTGGCCCGAAAAAGAAAAACTTTCACCATCATTCACTCCATCACTGTCTTGCCAGAAGGGTGCTTTACACTACAGTTTTTAAACTGCAACATTAACACCCCTCCTTCAGAGTGCAGGCACTGTACTTCCCATCTCCAGGACTCAAGTCCGGCCTGCCGGTTTCCCTGAACCCCTTCATAAATGTTACTTTGCTCACACTCCAACAGCACGTCAAGTATTAAAAACCATTTGTCTCCATTCACTCCTATCAAACACGCTCACGCATGCCTGCTGGAAGTCCAAGCCCCTCGCACATAAAACCTCCTTTACCCCCTCCCTCCAACCTTTCCTAGGCCGACCCCTACCCCGCCTTCCTTCCACTACAGACTGATACACTCTTGAAATCACTCTGTTTCACTCCATTCTCTCTACATGTCCGAACCACCTCAACAACCCTTCCTCAGCCCTCTGGACAACAGTTTTGGTAATCCCGCACCTCCTAACTTCCAAACTACGAATTCTCTGCATTATATTCACACCACACATTGCCCTCAGACATGACATCTCCACTGCCTCCAGCCTTCTCCTCGCTGCAACATTCATCACCCATGCTTCACACCCATATAAGAGCATTGGTAAAATTATACTCTCATACATTCCCCTCTTTGCCTCCAAGGACAAAGTTCTTTGTCTCCACAGACTCCTAAGTACACCACTCACTCTTTTCCCCTCATCAATTCTATGATTCATCTCATCTTTCATAGACCCATCCGCTGACACGTCCACTCCCAAATATCTGAATACATTCACCTCCTCCATACTCTCTACCTCCAATCTGATATCCAATCTTTCATCACCTAATCTTTTTGTTATCCTCATAACCTTACTCTTTCCTATATTCACTTTTAATTTTCTTCTTTTACATACCCTACCAAATTCATCCACCAATCTCTGCAACTTCTCTTCAGAATCTCCCAAGAGCACAGTGTCATCAGCAAAGAGCAACTGTGACAACTCCCACTTTATGTGTGATTCTTTATCTTTTAACTCCACGCCTCTTGCCAAGACCCTCGCATTTACTTCTCTTACAACCCCATCTATAAATATATTAAACAACCACGGTGACATCACACATCCTTGTCTAAGGCCTACTTTTACTGGGAAATAATTTCCCTCTTTCCTACATACTCTAACTTGAGCCTCACTATCCTCGTAAAAACTCTTCACTGCTTTCAGTAACCTACCTCCTATACCATACACCTGCAACATCTGCCACATTGCCCCCCCTATCCACCCTGTCATACGCCTTTTCCAAATCCATAAATGCCACAAAGACCTCTTTAGCCTTATCTAAATACTGTTCACTTACATGTTTCACTGTAAACACCTGGTCCACACACCCCCTACCTTTCCTAAAGCCTCCTTGTTCATCTGCTATCCTATTCTCCGTCTTACTCTTAATTCTTTCAATAATAACTCTACCATACACTTTACCAGGTATACTCAACAGACTTATCCCCCTATAATTTTTGCACTCTCTTTTGTCTCCTTTGCCTTTATACAAAGGAACTATGCATGCTCTCTGCCAATCCCTAGGTACCTTACCCTCATCCATACATTTATTAAATAATTGCACCAACCACTCCAAAACTATATCCCCACCTGCTTTTACCATTTCTATCTTTATCCCATCAATCCCGGCTGCCTTACCCCCTTTCATTTTAACTACTGCCTAACGAACTTCCCCCACACTCACAACTGGCTCTTCCTCACTCCTACAAGATGTTATTCCTCCTTGCCCTATACACGAAATCACAGCTTCCCTATCTTCATCAACATTTAACAGTTCCTCAAAATATTCCCTCCATCTTCCCAATACCTCTAACTCTCCATTTAATAACTCTCCTCTCCTATTTTTAACTGACAAATCCATTTGTTCTCTAGGCTTCCTTAACTTGTTAATCTCACCCCAAAACTTTTTCTTATTTTCAACAAAATTTGTTGATAACATCTCACCCACTCTCTCATTTGCTCTCTTTTTACATTGCTTCACCACTCTCTTAACCTCTCTCTTTTTCTCCATATACTCTTCCCTCCTTGCATCACTTCTACTTTGTAAAAACTAACTTTTTCTCCCTTACTACTCTCTTTACATCATCATTCCACCAATCGCTCCTCTTCCCTCCCGCACCCACTTTCCTGTAACCACAAACTTCTGCTGAACACTCTAACATTACATTTTTAAACCTACCCCATACGTCTTCGACCCCATTGCCTATGCTCTCATTAGCCCATCTATCCTCCAATAGCTGTTTATATCTTACCCTAACTGCCTCCTCTTTTAGTTTATAAACCTTCACCTCTCTCTTCCCTGATGCTTCTATTCTTGTATCCCATCTACCTTTTACTCTCAGTGTAGCTACAACTAGAAAGTGATCTGATATATCTGTGGCCCCTCTATAAACATGTACATCCTGAAGTCTACTCAACAGTCTTTTATCTACCAATACGTAATCCAACAAACTACTGTCATTTCGGCCTACATCATATCTTGTATACTTATTTATCCTCTTTTTCTTAAAATATGTATTACCTATAACTAAACCCCTTTCTATACAAAGTTCAATCAAAGGGCTCTCATTATCATTTACACCTGGCACCCCAAACTTACCTACCACACCCTCTCTAAAAGTTTCTCCTACTTTAGCATTCAGGTCCCCTACCACAATTACTCTCTCACTTGGTTCAAAGGCTCCTATACATTCACTTAACATCTCCCAAAATCTCTCTCTCTCCTCTACATTCCTCTCTTCTCCAGGTGCATACACGCTTATTATGACCCACTTCTCGCATCCAACCATTACTTTAATCCACATAATTCTTAAATTTACACATTCATATTCTCTTTTCTCCTTCCTTAACTGATCCTTCAATCATAATAATGATGATAATTCCTGCAGGATGGTTCTTTTCACGCAAGTGTTGCTTGGTGCACTGGTGATGTTTCTGAAGATCTGCGTCGCTTGCTGCCTCAGCTAGAGAATGTCTGCAGCCAGTACTTCTCAGTGGAGACCGACATGCGTACTTTTGATGTTAGCTCTTTGAATTTTAAAACGGGTAACAGAATTCACACCATACACCTTAAACATGGAAATTAGTGCAGTATTAATTATTCATTAATAGAATCTGGGTAAATTATCTTCATTAAGTTTGTACAAATAATAAATTAATGTTAATTTAAAATGTTCATTTTTTTTTTTTGAGTGGAGATAGTTATCTGTATTTATTAATCTTGTATTTAAGGACCAAGTAAAAATCTTTCAGAGCATATTATTACATGATAAATTAATTACAAATGCCAACTCTGAATAAGCATGAGGATGCTCTACCAAAGAACAATTTGTCAGGGAATACCTGATCTACCTGAGTCAAGTCAGTGGCTTGATGAGGAAACTTTGATTTATGATCCTGGTACAAAAATAGAAGCATTGTAAAGGCATTGGTATGGATGTCCAGGCAGATTTTTAATGCATATTCAGCTCCTCAGGGTCTATAGTCATAAGTCAGGGAGGGAACATTTCCTATAGACTGTATTGAAGTTAGAGGACCTACTTATTATAAAGTGTAGATTACAACAGAATGCATTCACAGTTAACCCATGACTAGAAAAGAAAACTGACCATTGTTTTGGTTAGTCCTGGATGATCACCAAGTTGAGTGAGGAAAAAAGGGGAAGAATGTAGAAGTGAGGTCAGGTTGGGTCACTGGCAGGAGACCTCTGGGTTTTCCCCGTTTTCTTTATCATTAGCAATTTAGTAGTGTTTCAGGACGGACCAAAACGTCATCCAGTTTTCATTTCTATTTTTCTGGTTAATCTTGAACTGTTCCAATTATGGTATTGTAACTTATTCTTGAACGTTGTGTTCACTGTTTCAGAGTTAAAATAGCGCTGAATGACCCATGTGGGTTTAGCATAGTGAATATTATAATAATAGAGTGAAACAGCTAGTGCAAATTACATTTTGTTTAAACTAATATTAACTTTGAAGTACTATACCATAATTGATGCAAGGAAAGTAATTTTGATGTGGCTAACCATTGATAAAATAAAAAATATTGTATAGAATATAAGATGGATGACACCCTGTGCTTGAAGGATTTTTTTATACATTTTTTTTTTTTTTTACATGACTTGCAGTGTATACTTGTGTAGAGGATTTAGCAAAAACAGCACTTCTTACTGCTTTTAAATTAGTGAAAATTTTTACCTGTAGCCCTCCAATACCTTGAATCTATTAAGATGATATATATTGTATTAGTATGTGAGATTCCTTCTTGCAAGGTGTAGTCTATATATTGGTGCTGCAGAATGTGGCATTAGACATGAATATTGTTATTAGGCTTTGTTTATAAAAGTTGACATTCATGGTACTGTATGGATTTGTTTGTTTCTGGTGAGACCTCTTCAATTTGGTCCTTGTTATATTGTATATTTCCGTTTGGCCTGCATCATTTTTGCTTACAGTTGGTGCATAGATTCTATTAATATATTCACTAAAGTATTTTCTTAAGTATTGTTATTCTACTTGGAGCCTTATATGATGAGATGATAAAATTGGTGTTATGAGAAGTTTGGTGTCACGGAGCTAATTGAACCTGTCAGGCATACGACCCACCGGATACAAAAATTTAGGTTGTTTGCTGTACAGTATCAGGTATTTCGTGAGCATTATCTTGACAAGTTTAGTACTAGTTAATAATTTGCCTGAGCTTATGACAGTAATGAGAATTACTGTAATTGCTGTGATGTCCAGAGCAAGGACAAGATATGCACCCTGACTCTATTCCTTTCTAATATCTTTGTTTTTGTGCTATAATTTGTTTAGCACAAACTTGAGGAATTTTGTACGAATGTTTTTTACTCGTTTACCACGGTAATACTAAGGGAGTAATTTTTATATGGCTAGTAATCTCTCATTTGTGACTTTTTCTCTTTTTAACCAAATTCACACTGCAGTCATTGGCAATCTGTAGGAGTACAGAAAGTAAAGAAAATGTCTTGTTAACTAATTTGCTTCACATTTTCCTTTTCTTTTCACCTGTTTAGTCTTCCCTGTATTGGTGTTTTCACTGTACCTGCTTGGAGTACTGTAACTCTTTTTACAGTGTGAAGAGCTTTATTGTTGACAGTGTGCCCTTCAAAGATGGGTGCCTCGATGCTGAGAAGGGCTCTTGATCCAAGGAATTGAGAACTATGATTTCTTTCCTACCATCAAATCTGATTACCTCCAATTTCCTAGGTGCTATATTACCCCTTCAAGTTTAGTGCTTCCCCATGAATAAAATCATGTTGACAGTGTAAGCAGATGGGTATTGCTTCTGATGACTGTTAATTAAGTCAACAAGCAAAATTCTTTGACAAATGTTTGATTTTTTTTTGTTTAATTTTGTTTAGTCATAAAATATTTTGTTCTTTTTAACACTTCAGCTATCTCCCACCGTCTTACCAGAAGTGTGCTGAGATTACAGTTCAGATTACCCTCCAAACCTTAACATCCCAATCCCTCCTTCAGATTCCACGCACTGTACTTCTCACCTCCAGGACTCAAGTCCAGTTAACTGGTTTCCCTGAATCCCTTCATAAATGTTACCTTGTTCACGGTCTAATAGCAAGTCAGATTGTAAAAACCACTTGCTTCCACTCCTAGCTAATATGCTTACACAAGCCTGTTGGATGTCCAAGCCCCCTAGCACTCAAAACCTTGTTTATCCTCTTCAACCATTCCTAGAATGACCCCTACCTCTCCTTCCCTCAATGAAAGATTTATATGCCCTCATAATCTTATTTTTCTCCATCCTCTCTAAATGTCCAAACCACCTTGGCAACCCATCCTTAGTCCTCTCAATAATACTTTTGGTAACTCCATACCACCACAACCACCACCACCACCTAATCTCAAAACTCCGAATTCTCTGCATAATATTCACACTATGTGTTAACCTCAAACACAACATCTCCACTGCCTTCAGCCTCCTTCTCACTGCAACTTTCAAAACCATGCTTCACAAATATACAGCAGCATTGGTACCACTATACTCTGGTACATTCCCCTTTTTGCCCTCATGGATAAAATTCTTTGTCTCCACAGATACATCAATGCACCACCCACCTTTTTACCTTCACCAGTTCTATGGTTCACCTTGTGTCTCATAAACTATCTGCCAACAAGCCCACTCCAAAATATCTGGACTCTGACTTCCTCCATATTCCTTTCAATCTAATATCCAAATGACAGACCAACTCCTAAATATCTGAACACACATACTTCCTTCATGCTCCCTCCAATCTGATATCCAATCTCTCATTGCCTATTATTTTTCATACTATCATCACCTTGCTCTTTCTTATGTTCACTTTATTTTGTTTTTTACATACCTTCCCAAATTTGTTTACCAACCTTTGTGACTTCTCTTCAGAAAATATATGGCAATCAAATGTTGTGTGTGAGACCTTCTGCTGTGGTTGTTTACATACTTTATGAACTTTAAATAAAATTTTCTCATTATCACAACTTTTTAAATAACAATAAAAATACATATTGTGCACTTTAATATATTTTAAGTTTATTCATAAAAATGTACTTTACTATAATATTCACACTGGTCTAGTGCAAATATTGAGGTTAAAACTATTTGAGTATACCTTGTTCCTGAACTAGAGAGAAAACTCGAAAGGTTACCTATGTTCAAGCTTGCATGTGTACCTGGAGAGTGTTCTGGGGGTCAACACCCCCACAGTCCAGCCTTAAAAGAATGATGCCAACAGCATTTGGTGTTCCCAGGCAGTCACCCATCCAAGTATTAACCAAACCCAACACTGCTTAACTTCACTGATCAGACGAGAAGCAGTGTGTTCACCTTCAATCTTTGAAATGTAAAACAGTGCTGACTTTTCAGCAATAGATGTTAACTGATGCAAAATTATCTCTGCACAGGATTGCATTGTAATGATTTAACGCTGTAAAATTAAAAGATAATTTACATTCAGCCACTGCCTTCTTTCCCCAAAATTTACATATTTGTGTATGAAGACTGATACATAAAAATATATTTAAGTATCAAATTGGCATCAAAGTAACTTTGTGCTAATAATTGTATGGCGATAAGGAGATGTTTGTTGCATTTATGGATTAAGACAAAGGTATATGATGGGTTGCAAATGTATGGAAGAGGTAGCAGGTTACTAAAAGCAATAAAAGTTTATATGCAGTGAAATTCAGATTAGTGTATGTAAATGGGGGATGTATATTACCTCCCATTCCCTCAGGTGCTATACAACCCTACAGGTTTAGCACTAACCACTTCAGTGTAATAATAATTGATACACTCCAGTGTATGTGGTTTACCTGGAGAGGGTTCTGGAGGTCAACGCCCCCACGGCTCAGTCTGAGACCAGGCCTCATGGTGGATCAGGGTGTAATCAACCAGGCTGTTACAGAATTTTGCCCAACATATCTTTGTATTCATGGGTAACCACTCATTTGTTGGGGTCATACAGCACCTGATGAAGGAGAGGTAAGTAGGTTTGAGTCAAGGTGAGGGTGGCTCCAATTCCTTGGAACAAGAGCCCCTGACAAGCATCAAGGCACCACGTGAACCCCTTGCCCAGAAGAATTTATAGCAGGACTTGCATTTTCTAATGCATTTGCTCTGGTGGCCTGGTGGTTAACGCTCTTGCTTCACACGGTGAGGGCCTGGGTTCGATTCCCAGCCAGAGTAGAAACATTGGACGTGTTTCTTTCCACCTGTTGTCTATGTTCCCCATCAGTAAAATGGGTACCTGGGTGTTAGTCGACTGGTGTGGGTCGCATCCTGGGACACTGACCTAAGGAGGCCTGGTCACAGACCGGGCCGCGGGGGCATTGACCCCCGGAACTCTCTCCAGGTAAACTCCAGGTAAACTATCAACAAGTAGGATAACACACAGGTACCTAGCTTTACTGCTACCCTAGGTGAGCAGGAGTGTGAGCAAATTTGCCCACAGGTTCTCTTTTGCTGGGATTCAAACCCAGGGTGATGTGAGAACTGTACTCTCACCATTTAGCTATGCATCACCATTTGTTATTAATCATGAAAGGGGGTAAAGCAGCTGGAACTGATGGGATCATGATAGAAATGTTAAAAGCAGGGGGAGATATAGTGTTGGAGTGGTTGGTACTTTTGTCTAATAAATGTATGAAAGAGGGGAAGGTACCTAGGGATTGGCAGAGAGCATGTATAGTCCCTTTATATAAAGGGAAGGGGGACAAAAGAGATTGTAAAAATTATAGAGGAATAAGTTTATTGAGTATACCAGGAAAAGTGTACGGTAGGGTTATTATTGAAATAATTAGAAGACAATGTAGGATTGCAGATGAGCAAGGAGGTTTCAGAGTGGGTAGGGGATGTGCAGATCAAGTGTTTACATTGAAGCATATATGTGAACAGCATTTAGATAAAGGTAGGGAAGTTTTTATTGCATTTATGGATTTAGAAAAGGCATATGATAGAGTGGATAGGGGAGCAATGTGGCAGATGTTGCAAGTAATATATAGAATAGGTGGTAAGTTACTGAATGCTGTAAAGAGTTTTTATGAGGATAGTGAGGCTCAGGTTAGGGTGTGTAGAAGAGAGGGAGACTACTTCCCGGTAAAATTATTTTATTTTATTATCACACCGGCCGATTCCCACCAAGGCAGGGTGGCCTGAAAAAGAAAAACTTTCACCATCATTCACTCCATCACTGTCTTGCCAGAAGGGTGCTTTACACTACAGTTTTTAAACTGCAACATTAACACCCCTCCTTCAGAGTGCAGGCACTGTACTTCCCATCTCCAGGACTCAAGTCCGGCCTGCCGGTTTCCCTGAATCCCTTCATAAATGTTACTTTGCTCACACTCCAACAGCACGTCAAGTATTAAAAACCATTTGTCTCCATTCACTCCTATCAAACACGCTCACGCATGCCTGCTGGAAGTCCAAGCCCCTCGCACACAAAACCTCCTTTATCCCCCTCCCTCCAACCCTTCCTAGGCCGACCCCTACCCCGCCTTCCTTCCACTACAGACTGATACACTCTTGAAGTCATTTGTTTCGCTCCATTCTCTCTACATGTCCGAACCACCTCAACAACCCTTCCTAGCCCTCTGGACAACATTTTGGTAATCCCCACCATCCTCCTAACTTTCAAACTACGAATTCTCTGCATTATATTCAACCACACATTGCCTCAACATGACATCTCCACTGCCTCCAGCCTTCTCCCTGGCAACATTCAACCCAGCTTCACACCCATATAAGAGCGTTGGTAAAACTATACTCTCATACATTCCCCTTTTGCCTCCAAGGAAAAGTTCTTTGTCTCCACAGACTCCTAAGTGCACCACTCACTCTTTTTCCCTCATCAATTCTATGATTCCTCATCTTTCATAGACCCATCTGCTGACAGTCCATCCTCAAATATCATGAATACGTTCACTATCCTCCATACTCTCCTCCCTCCAATCTGATATTCAATCTTTCATCACCTAATTTTTTTTATCCTCATAACCTTACTCTTTCCCGTATTCACTTTAATTTTCTTCTTTTGCACACCCTCCAAATTCATACCAATCTTGCAACTTCTCTTCAGAATTCCCAAGGCACAGTGTCATCAGCAAAGTAGCACTGTGACAACTCCCACTTTGTGTGTGATTTTTATCTTTTAATCCACCCTCTTGCAAACCCTGCATTTACTTTTTACAAACCCATCATAAATATATTAAACAACACGGTGACATACACATCCTTTCTAAAGGCCTACTTTTACTGGGAAAAATTTCCACTTCTTTCCTACATACTTAACTTGAGCCTCACTATCTGATAAAAAAGTCTTTCACTGCTTTCAGTAACCTAACCTCCTACACCATTACACTTGCAACATCTGCCACATTGCCCCCTATCCACCCTGTCATATACGCCTTTCCAAATCCATAAATGCCACAAAGACCTCTTTAGCCTTATCTAAATACTGTTCACTTATATGTTTCACTGTAAACACCTGTCCACACACCCCCTAACCTTTCCTAAAGCCTCCTTGTTCATCTGCTATCCTATCTCCGTCTTAACTTTAATTCTTTCAATTATAACTCTACCTAACACTTTACCAGGTACACTCAACAGACTTATCCCCCTAAAATTTTTGCACTCTTCTTTTATCCCCTTTGCCTTTATACAAAGGAACTATGCATGCTCTCTGCCAATCCCTAGGTACCTTACCTTCTTCCATACATTTATTAAATAATTGCACCAACCACTCCAAAACTATATCCCCACCTGCTTTTAACATTTCTATCTTTATCCCATCAATCCCGGCTGCCTTACCCCCTTTCATTTTACCTACTGCCTCACGAACTTCCCCCACACTCACAACTGGCTCTTCCTCACTCCTACAAGATGTTATTCCTCCTTGCCCTATACACGAAATCACAGCTTCCCTATCTTCATCAACATTTAACAATTCCTCAAAATATTCCTTCCATCTTCCCAATACCTCTAACTCTCCATTTAATAACTCTCCTCTCCTATTTTTAACTGACAAATCCATTTGTTCTCTAGGCTTTCTTAACTTGTTAATCTCACTCCAAAACTTTTTCTTATTTTCAACAAAATTTGTTGATAACATCTCACCCACTCTCTCATTTGCTCTCTTTTTACATTGCTTCATCACTCTCTTAACTTCTCTCTTTTTCTCCATATACTCTTTCCCTCCTTGCATCACTTCTACTTTGTAAAAACTTCTCATATGCTAACTTTTTCTCCCTTACTACTCTTTTACATCATCATTCCACCAATCGCTCCTCTTCCCTCCTGCAACCCACTTTCCTGTAACCACAAACTTCTGCTGAACACTCTAACACTACATTTTTAAACCTACCCCATACCTCTTCGACCCATTGCCTATGCTCTCATTAGCCCATCTATCCTCCAATAGCTGTTTATATCTTACCTAACTGCCTCCTCTTTTAGTTTAAAACCTTCACCTCTCTCTTCCCTGATGCTTCTATTCTCCTTGTATCCCATCTACCTTTTACTCTCAGTGTAGCTACAACTAGAAAAGTGATCTGATATATCTGTGGCCCCTCTATAAACATGTACATCCTGAAGTCTACTCAACAGTCTTTTATCTACCAATACATAATCCAACAAACTACTGTCATTTCGCCCTACATCATATCGTGTATACTTATTTATCCTCTTTTTCTTAAAATATGTATTACCTATAACTAAACCCCTTTCTATACAAAGTTCAATCAAAGGGCTCCCATTATCATTTACACCTGGCACCCCAAACTTACCTACCACACCCTCTCTAAAAGTTTCTCCTACTTTAGCATTCAAGTCCCCTACCACAATTACTCTCTCACTTGGTTCAAAGGCTCCTATACATTCACTTAACATCTCCCAAAATCTCTCTCTCTCCTCTGCATTCCTCTCTTCTCCAGGTGCATACACGCTTATTATGACCCACTTCTCGCATCCAACCTTTACTTTAATCCACATAATTCTTGAATTTACACATTCATATTCTCTTTTTCTCCTTCCATAACTGATCATTTAACATTACTGCTACCCCTTCCTTTGCTCTAACTCTCTCAGATACTCCAGATTTAATCCCATTTATTTCCCCCCACTGAAACTCTCCTACCCCCTTCAGCTTTGTTTCGCTTAGGGCCAGGACATCCAACTTCTTTTCATTTCATAACATCAGCAATCATCTGTTTCTTGTCATCCGCACTACATCCACGCACATTTAAGCAACCCAGTTTTATAAAGTTTTTCTTCTTCTCTTTTTTTAGTAATTGTATACAGGAGAAGGGGTTACTAGCCCATTGCTCCCGGCATTTTAGTCGCCTCATACGACACGCATGGCTTACGGAGGAAAGATTCTTTTCCACTTCCCCATGGACAATAGGTCTTAAACAGGGATGTGTAATGTCACCATGGTTGTTTAATATATTTATAGATGGGGTTGTAAAAGAAGTAAATCCTAGGGTGTTCGAGAGAGGGGTGGGATTAAATTATGGGGAATCAAATACAAAATGGGAATTGACACAGTTACTTTTTGCTGATGATACTGTGCTTATGGGAGATTCTAAAGAAAAATTGCAAAGGTTAGTGGATGAGTTTGGGAGTGTGTGTAAAGGTAGAAAGTTGAAAGTGAACATAGAAAAGAGTAAGGTGATGAGGGTATCAAATGATTCAGATAAAGAAAAATTGGATATCAAATTGGGGAGGAGGAGTATGGAAGAAGTGAATGTTTTCAGATACTTGGGAGTTGACGTGTCGGCGGATGGATTTATGAAGGATGAGATTAATCATAGAATTGATGAGGGAAAAAAGGTGAGTGGTGCATTGAGGTATATGTGGAGTCAAAAAACGTTATCTATGGAGGCAAAGAAGGGAATGTATGAAAGTGTAGTAGTACCAACACACTTGTATGGGTGTGAAGCTTGGGTTGTGAATGCAGCAGCGAGGAGGTGGTTGGAGGCAGTGGAGATGTCCTGTTTAAGGGCAATGTGTGGTGTAAATATTATGCAGAAAATTCGGAGTGTGGAAATTAGGAGAAGGTGTGGAGTTAATAAAAGTATTAGTCAGAGGGCTGAAGAGGGGTTGTTGAGGTGGTTTGGTCATTTAGAGAGAATGGATCAGAGTAGAATGACATGGAGAACATTTAAATCTGTAGGAGAAGGAAGGAGGGGTAGGGGTCATCCTCGAAAAGGCTGGAAAGAAGGGGTAAGGGAGGTTTTGTGGGCGAGGGGCTTGGACTTCCAGCAGGCGTGCATGAGCGTGTTCGAAAGGAGTGAATGGAGACGAACGGTATTTGGGACCTGACGATCTGTTGGACTGTGAGCAGGGTAATATTTAGTGACGGGATTCAGGGAAATCGGTTATTTTTATATAGCTGGACTTGAGTCCTGGAAATGGGAAGTACAATGCCTGCACTCTTAAAGGAGGGGTTTGGGATATTAGCAGTTTGGAGGGATATGTTGTGTATCTTTATATGTATATGCTTCTAAACTGTTGTGTTCTGAGCACATCTGCAAAACAGTGATTATGTGTGAGTGAGGTGAAAGTGTTGAATGATGATGAAAGTATTTTCTTTTGGGGGATTTTCTTTCTTTTTGGGTCACCCTGCCTCAGTGGGAGACGGCCGACTTGTTGAAAAAAAAAAAATTATTTGCAAATCAACTGACACTATAATCACATTCTCTATATTTTTTATTTTGACCTTAAAAGGGACTGAAAACAACCCTCTTATTGATGATAACATCAAACCAACTGAATAGCCAGAGTACATATATGAGTTTCAAATGTGGTTTACTGTCATTTGGACAACAAAATACTACTGTACACCAGGTATACCAAATATTAAATAACATAATAATAATAAATGTCAATACTATATTAATTATAACATACCCTCTAAGGTTAAAATAGGTAATTTTAGAAAAATAAAAAATGTATGATATATAAATGCACAATCTAATAAATAAAATAAAATATAAGTGACAGTAACAAAAATGCAGATACAAATTAATCACAAGACAACAATATTAATACTAATTAATTCAACTCAAGTGTTGGTATCTTTTAGTTCATTGTCATTTGGATTCCACCTTGATAGCATTACCTCCTGTATGGTAAGTTCCCTAAGACACTCAATTTTTTTCATCTTTTCTCTGTTCAGACTTCTTGGCCGTAGAACAAAGCATATCAAAGGGGTCTGCAAAAAAAAAAAAAAGTTTAATGTCACTTCCATATAAGTTAATATATTATTACTGCCCCTTCAATGGAATGAGTGCATTATTACTGCCCCTTCAAGGGGATGACTATATTATTACTGTCCCTTAAAGGGGATGACTATATTATTCCTGTCCTTTCAAGAGGATGCTTTGGTGTCAGTAAAGCACTTTTGATCAAAGGAAGTGGAGTTATCCTTTCCTAACTTGGAGGAAACTTAATTACCTCCCAATCCCAGGAGCTATATTACTACTAAAGGTTTAGCACCACCCCATGAAAAAGGTAATACTGTATTACCATATATAAATACATATAGGCTAAAGGTGTGCGGATCACACAGTTGCCATATGGTGGAGGTGTGCTAACAGCAGAGGTATAAGGAAAAGATACAAGTAAAAAAGATGAAAGTCAAATGCTGTAATAAATCAGTCAGGTAAAAAATCATTACACTGTCAGTCTTCCTTTCTGAAAGTCTTTAATGAAGATTCCACTATGACTTATCATACACAGATTTACTGCACAGAATCTGACATTCTTCTTCCATCAGCTTTTCCTTTGAGTACAATACTTATATTGCACAAAGGTTTAGTGTTCTTCCTGAATATAATACAATACAGGAATTCATCACTTTATATGGCTTCATTTTGTGTTTATTTATGGCAAGAGAGACCTGTACAATTACTGAAAGTTGATGAAAGGCAATTTAAAAGTTCTGTAAAGGATATATCTTCAATGGAACTAATAATGTAGAGTAATTTACAATATGTCATGCAGCTGGGAAATAACTATTACAACTTACCTTATTAGTGTGGTTATTCAGACGCTCAACTGCTGAAATATTTGTCCACGACAGCTCCCGCCATGAGAGTGTCTCATCCCTATCAAGTGTGTCTTTCCATACACACTGTATCATGATGGAGTACTGAGAATGATAAAATGGCGGACCCACTGGGTACAGAACTGTAAAAGTACAGTATTGTAAATTTCACAACAATGCAAATATATCTGTAATACATATTAAAAACCTCTACTGACAAAGACTTAGACCCAGTATTATTATGCCATGTCACTTTAAAATTAAAATTATTTTTTATTTCTTCAGTTGACTGTGTTTTTGATACAAATGTAGGCTCAGGAGAAAGTCACTAGTTATGCAATGCATTTCAAGTAAATTATCATAGGTTATGAGCTACTTAAATCTAGACCCAAGATTACAAAGACACTAAAAGTATCAGTATACTTGAGTAATTCATTAATCAAGTTGAATGACAAGTGTATTATTATTATTAATAATCAAAAAACGCTAAGCCACAAGACTTACAGCGCTGCAGACAGTTGTAAATTATCAATTACTATAAATTAGTAGAATTTCATTGTTATGACTAATTTTACAGTTAGACGTGTTTATTGGATAAAATTTAGTGAGATGAGTAACAGTACAATACTGTACTTAATGATATTAGAAATTTGGAAAGATGGCATTTGACATTATCAGTCAGGAGTTCAAATATTTGGGCTTATTGCATGGATTTTTGACAGTATCTATTTATTACAAATTATCTAAGCTTGCAATATATTCTTAGCAATTCAAATGATAGAAGTACCAAACACGGAGTGGCCTAACAACAATCTTGGGGTCAACACAGTTTACAATATACAAGCAGAAACGACAATGATAACTCTATGCTCTAATTCAGGTATACATGGTTCAGTATGACAGCCATGTTCCATGTTATATTAGAACTGCCATGTTCCATGTTCAGTTTAGAAATGGCCTATGTTCATGTTCAGTATTAGAACATGCCTAGTCCATGTTCATATTACTGGCCATTTCCATGTCAGTATTAGAAACATGGCCATGTTCCAGTTGCATATTAGAACTGCCATGTTCCATGTTCAGTATTGAACATGCCATGTTCCATGTTTCATATTAGACATGGCCCCATGTTCCATGTTCAGATTAGAACATGTTCATGTCATTATTAGAACATGGCCCATGTTCCATGTCAGATTAGAACATCCATGTTCCATTGCAGTATTAACATGGCCATGTTCCATGTTCCAGTATAGAACTGGCCATGTTCCATGTCAGTATTAGACAGCCATTCCTGTCAGTATTAGACATGGCCCATGTTCCAGTCAGTATTAGAACAGGCCATGTTCATGGTTCATATTAGAACTGGCTATATTCCATGTTCAGTATTAGAACATGGCCCTTCCATGTATATTAGAACATGGCCCATGTTCCATGTTCAGTATTAGAACATGGCCCATGTTCCATGTTCAGTATTAGAACATGGCCCATGTTCCATGTTCAGTATTAGAACATGGCCCATGTTCCATGTTCAGTATTAGAACATGGCCCATGTTCCATGTTCAGTATTAGAACATGGCCCATGTTCCATGTTCAGTATTAGAACATGGCCCATGTTCCATGTTCAGTATTAGAACATGGCCCATGCAAAAACAATCTTGCATTACCTCCTTATAATAATTATTTATTATACCCACAAAAAAGCACTAAACCACTATATGCCATTCAGCGCTGACCTCTGATAATGAACTGAAACATAATCAAGACCAGCGTAAAGATGAGAAATACACACCGCAGTATAGCCAGGTATTTTACTCTGCATTTATCCTTCTCTTGTGCCAACCTGCCAGCCTATATAAGGGAGTTTTAAATTTAAGACAAAGTTTAAGTACTGTTTCTGCCAAGCTATTAACTCTTTATTTTCACTGTGCTTTTATCTCTCCAGTTTTTTAACAATTACACCTACCATCCAACTTACAACCTGCTCGACATACAACCACTCGACTTACGACCATGGTTTTTATGCCAAATTTCTGGGAAATAAACAACTGTTTGTGTTGTACACAGCGTTTATCCTAAACCTTACGGTATAAAATACAGTACTAACAGCATAAAAAGTAAAGTAAAAAATTAAATATCAAGATAAAACAATAAAATAAAATCATTACAAAAGTGTGATGTTGATATTCAGTAGTAAGATTCGACATGTCCATTTTGACTTACGACCGGTTGGTCGGAACCAAGCTTGGTCGTAAGTCAGATGGTACTTGTATATTCCCTTACTAATTGAGTTAATCATCAAGATCAGAACCACTTCTCCCAACAGACATGACCATGTCTTCTACCTCACAATTTCTCACTGCCCACATATACTCCCTCACAAATGAATTATGTACTAGCAATACAAGATATGGTTGCTGCCACTCACCCCAGTCAGCTCCAAACTTGAGTCCAGACTTCACCACCCAGCCTTTGGTTCTATAGTAATGATAAACAGCATATTTAATTGCAAACTTAGGATCATCCTCTATGAAAGTACTCCACATATGATCTATTGTCAATTCCTGAACATCTGAAGATGAGCTGCACTTGTAACTATGTTTTACAGCAGCTTCCTCCCTGACAACAATCAGGCAACCAAGAGCATAAGAGAGGAACAGAGCTTCTTCAGGTAACAGCTGAAGATACCCATCAGGAACCGCAGGACCTGACTCAGTTAATGTTCCTTCTCGTTCAGTGTTCAGAACCAAAACTGTCTTATAGCCTTTCTTATTCTCTGGATCCATAATTTCAGTTGCAGTACTGCTGATGCTAATGTCAACATATTTATTTTGAGGGACTTCCTTTATTCCTGAGTTTTCCTGATCATCTGACAGTGGTTTTATTTCCACATTTGTGACAGCTTCCATGTCATCATCACTTTTAGCTGTCTGCAGGCCTTTAAAGCACGGTCCACTCTTTAAACCACTTGCCTCAATTAACTTCCAGCATTTTTTCTGAGGGACTCTATTGTCATTTTCAGTATAAACATATCTGTTATGCCCAAAGTATCCCTGGAAAATAGAAAAAAAAAATCATACACACAACACAAAAATATCATACAATAATAAAGTAGTAGTATGAAAAAAAATTATTAACATTAATCATAAAATATATATCAAAGCAAAAATTGGACAAATTTTATGTCTATACTGTATATTTATACTCAGGTTGATGGAAAACAATACCAGTTTTATAACAAGCCAGGTTCACTACTGACATCAGAGACGGCAGATTCTGTCTACCACAACTAGCAGCTCACCATCACAAAATCATAAAAGACAATGGAAGTGAATTACAAGGCCAGCACATTCAGTAACTTTCTTCTCATATTTATCTGTAATGAACTTTGATATTCTTTTGAGAAGGTGACAATCTGTACTATTTAATACACAGGTTCATATTTTTTCATAAGTTTCTAACTGTATTAATGGCCGGGTCATTCAAACAAAACTCACAGGCAATTTCCATCACATGTGTACAACCTCTATGCATATCTAACACTTCCACTTCCTTCAGTGAAGTCAGAGATTCACAATTTTTTTCTTAGTACCTCCAGTATCACTAGTGTTCCTTTGAGTGCCATTAATATCCAGAAACCAGTGATGAAAATATAAAAAAAATAACAAGACTTAAGACATTTCCAAAATGCAACTGGAGGTGGGATGGAGTGTCAGTGGGAGGGTAAGAGTCATGTACCATGGCATGTACAGGAGGGCCCCACTTATACAGCAGGTTAGGTTCCAGGTTACTGCTATAAAGAGAAACACAGCCTTTTTTTCACTGCCAAATGCAGATAAAAGCTTCATAACATGTTTACACTATCACATATATTAACCCTTAAACTGTCCAAACGTAGATTTACGTTTTCTCAACATTTGAAAGTATGTAAAAAAATGTAGATCTTCTTTTTGTTTTTTTTACATTTGAAAATGTGTAAAAAAAACTTTGATCTATGTTTGTTTGTTTTTTGTCATATTTGAAAATATGTAAAAAAACGTAGATCCACTTTTGGAGCATTACGCATGTGAACATAGATCTGTTTGGACAGTTTAAGGGTTAAGTGAGCAATAGAGCTAGGCCTAAAAAAAAAAAAATACATATAAAGTACACACATTACCTACCTCAAAATATTTTTGTACTTAGCTTATAGTAAATGAATATAATTATTACAGGAAGTCTGAATAAATGAAGAGTGGGTATAAATGAAAACTGCTACATTAGCAAAACACTGTAAAGTGAAGCACTGTAAAGCAAGGCCCTCCTATAATTACATACCAAAATTCTGAAGGTAATGTGATGACTTCAAGAGTGTATCAGTCTGTAGTGGAAGGAAGGCGGGGTAGGGGTCGGCCTAGGAAAGGTTGGAGAGAGGGGGTAAAGGAGGTTTTGTGTGCGAGGGGCTTGGACTTCCAGCAGGTATGCATGAGCGTGTTTGATAGGAGTGAATGGAGACAAATGGTTTTTAATACTTGACGTGCTGTTGGAGTGTGAGCAAAGTAACATTTATGAAGGGGTTCAGGGAAACCGGCAGGCCGGACTTGAGTCCTGGAGATGGGAAGTACAGTGCCTGCACTCTGAAGGAGGGGTGTTAATGTTGAAGTTTAAAAACTGTAGTGTAAAGCACCCTTCTGGCAAGACAGTGATGGAGTGAATGATGGTGAAAGTTTTTCTTTTTCGGGCCACCCTGCCTTGGTGGGAATCGGCCATTGTGATAATAATAATAATAAAAAAAAATGTGATGCAGTGCTACCTAGTACCTGTACCAATATTTCATGTGTAAGCTGACTTGTTTAATGATTTATGGCTCATACTATCAATATGTTCGTGCTCTATATAATTTTTGGTTACACTTTTTGAATTGCTTTGCAAGTAAACTGCACAATGTGAAGTCATGTTGTAAATGGGACTTACCATATCATCTTTTATAGATGATGTACAAATTAGCATAAAATTACCTTAGTAGGAAATGTAGAAAACTTACAGACAAAATATTAACAAAAAATTTTCAAGGAAAATTAAAATGAACAAAGTTTAAAGATGACAAAAGCAACTGATTAAATACTAAAGAATGGAGATTCATAAACAAACACAAAGTTCTGACAGACCTTTCATACAAATGGGAAGAAGGAAAAATGATCCAATATTTAGAGAACATTATAAGGAGGTTTATTAAGGTACAGGTACACATAAATACAGTTACACAAATTATCATACGGTGTATCTTATGTGTAATTTACCTAGGATAACCCCAAAAAAAGTCAAAGTGACTTATTTCCATTTGGGTTCTTGTAATATCTTATTATTAAAACCTTATTACTAAATGTAACAAAGATCAAAGTAGACAAATTAAATACTAAATAAAAGAATACCACATAACAGTAAAACATTGGACTGCATACACTGCAATAATTTTTTTAAAACATTTTGACATTTCAGACGTACATTGTGCCAGAGAGAAGCTGCATGCTCTGGGTCGGGTACAATAATGAGGCCTCTCCTATAGCATGCCTTATAGCACTGCAATGCTGCAGAGTTTACTGGTGTACCGGCAGGTGATCCAACATGGACGGGCAGGGGGCTGGCAAGCTCCTCGCGCACGTGAAGCTTTTTACGAGGGGCTGGCAGGGAGATCATGACGGCATCTGAGGCAATGAGAACATCAAATATAAAATCAGATCTTGGCAAACTGTTTATGTAAAGAATGATAAATAGCAAAATTTAATACAGTATTTAAGGCTTGTAGTTTCCTAGGTCAACTAATACAGAAATATTTGTTGTTACAATCGAGGCAAGACAACAGTAAGCTTATTTAGGTACAGGTAGGTACGCATAAGTACAATTATCATACTTGGTGTGAATTACTTATGATAACCCATTACACTGTGGGTTTAGGGTACTGTATGTATGTGATCATGTTACTTAATATATAAATAATAACTTACTTATGGAAATATGTCATACTGAGTCTATTAGGCTAATTTTTACACAGGTTGCTGTGTAAGGTTATTATTAAAAAAATAAACTTATGTGCGAGGCCAAAAGAAAAATATGTAACACTCCTTGGATTATTACTATTACAATGAAAATTAAGGTCAAAACCCAGAAAGGTCATACAGCGCCGAGACTCCTAGGATAAATTACAAAAACCAGAAGTGTCTAGAATGAAAGATAAGAGTAAAGTTTAACCATGAGCACAAAACTGCTAACAGCCAATGTTCAGAATATTTTGCTGTAAATATTTAGTGAATGAAGTTACAGGAAGACGATGATTTTAGTCATATGATTAACCCAGAGGATAAGTAACCCAGGATAACCCAGAGGATAAGTAACCCAGGATAACCCAGAGGATAAGTAACCCAGGATAACCCAGAGGATAAGTAACCCAGGATAACCCAGAGGATAAGTAACCCAGGATAACCCAGAGGATAAGTAACCCAGGATAACCCAGAGGATAAGTAACCCAGGATAACCAAGAGGATAAGTAACCCAGGATAACCCAGAGGATAAGTAACCCAGGATAACCCAGAGGATAAGTAACCCAGGATAACCAAGAGGATAAGTAACCCAGGATAACCCAGAGGATAAGTAACCCAGGATAACCCAGAGGATAAGTAACCCAGGATAACCCAGAGGATAAGTAACCCAGGATAACCCAGAGGATAAGTAACCCAGGATAACCCAGAGGATAAGTAACCCAGGATAACCCAGAGGATAAGTAACCCAGGATAACCCAGAGGATAAGTAACCCAGGATAACCAGAGGATAAGTAACCCAGGATAACCAGAGGATAAGTAACCCAGGATAACCCAGAGGATAAGTAACCCAGGATAACCCAGAGGATAAGTAACCCAGGATAACCCAGAGGATAAGTAACCCAGGATAACCCAGAGGATAAGTAACCCAGAGGATAAGTAACCCAGGATAACCAAGAGGATAAGTAACCCAGGATAACCCAGAGGATAAGTAACCCAGGATAACCCAGGGGATAAGTAACCCAGGATAACCCAGAGGATAAGTAACCCAGGATAACCCACCACAGCCAATCTGATGACACTGGTTTCCTTGGATCCTATGAAGGCAGGACAGTGGCTTATTTTACTGTTAAAATAATCTTAATTCATTCTTGATCTGATGTATTCCTTAATTAACCATAGATTTGTCAAGAAACAGGACAAGTGTTTCCTGACGCAGGTCATAGTTATATGACCCACACCTGGAGGTTTTGGGCATCTGAACGAGACCTTCCACTGGCTTACCCCTTCAAAAATTAGTTATAATTATAAACTGCTCCATAATCTTGATTTACATATACAGTATAATATATAAATAAACCATCTATATATATGCTTATGTAAGGACCCGTGGAAATTAAACCACAGTGTTTGACTTTCCTGGGTTATCTTAGGTAAATTCTACCTAATTTAGCTTATAAAATCATTGTAAAATTTAAAAATATGAGACCTATATAAAAATTTACTAAGTGGATGTTGTTGTTGGGATTGTTAAGGGGCACCGAGGTTGACGCTTTATAGAGCCTTGACTCCCGGATGACAGTTTAGTTTAATATGTTTATTATGCACCCCATACCCATCCTGTGGGCGGTAGTCAAAAGATTACAGAGGTACATAATTGGTCCAGGGACTGGACTCCAAAGTTTTGATAGCTGAGCAAGTTACAGAGGTAATGAACTCACAATTTACAAAGGTAATGAACTCACAATTTACAAAGGTAATGAACTCACAATTTACAAAGGTAATGAACTCCAGGTAGGTCTGGTCACAATCATGACAAGTTACAAAGGTATTTACAGATTACAGAGGTACGTAATGGGTCCAGGGACTGGGCCCCCAAAGTTTTGATAGCTGAACTAGGTACAAAGGTAATGAGCTCACAAGTTACAAAGGTAATGAATTCTGTAGAATGGTTACTTACGTTTATACATGGCTACAATCATGAACAAATTATAGAGTAATGAACAATTCACACTTCCACACCCGGTCACAACTGTAATGAGTTATTGGTGCAAATATTGATTGTTGAGTCACACACACACACACACACACACACCACACACACACACACACACACACACACACTTTCTTCAGCCACAAAGTAGTCAGGAAGTGGAATAGTTTGGGAAGCGATGTAGTGGGGGCAGGATCCATACATAGCTTTAAGCAGAGGTATGATAAAGCTCACGGTTCAGGGAGAGTGACCTAGTAGCGACCAGTAAAGAGGCGGGGCCAGGAGCTTGGACTCGACCCCTGCAACCTCAACTAGGTGAGTACAACTAGGTGAGTACTCACACACTCACACACACACACGCAACCACAAATAGGTGAGTACACACACACACACAACACCACACACCACACACACACAAACACCACACACACACACACACACACACACAGTTTAGTTTAATATCTTTATTATGCACCCCATACCCATCCTGTGGGCGGTAGTCAAAAGATTACAAAGGTACATAATGGGTCCAGTGACTGGACCCCAAAGTTATGATAGCTGAACTAGTTACAAAGGTAATGAACTCCAGGTAGATCTGGTCACAATCATGGCAAGTTACAGAGGTAATGAATCGGCCTCACTCCTATACATGGTTACAGTCATGAGCAAATTACAAAGTAATGAACCACTGATACGTCCACACCTGGTCACAGTTGTAATGAGTTATAAATACAAATATTAAGAGGATCATACACCCGTGGCCCGTGGTCTGGTGGCTAAAGCTCCCGCTTCACACACGGAGGGCCCGGGTTCGATTCCCGGCGGGTGGAAATTCCGACACGTTTCCTTACACCTATTGTCCTGTTCACCTAGCAGCAAATAGGTACCTGGGTGTTAGTCGACTGGTGTGGGTCGCATCCTGGGGGACAAGATTAAGGACCCCAATGGAAATAAGTTAGACAGTCCTCGATGACGCACTGACTTTCTTGGGTTATCCTGGGTGGCTAACCCTCCGGGGTTAAAAATCCGAACGAAATCTTATCTTATCTTATCACACTAGCGCGCGCGCGCACATACACACACGAGGGCGCACGCACGGACATGTGCACACGAGCGTACAAATATATGCATACACACAAGGACGCACACACACACACCCACACACAACACACACACAACACCCACACACAACACAACACCAACACCCACACACCACACACACCCTCACACACACCCCACACACACATTTTTTGGTGCAAATATTGATTGTTGAGTCACACACACACCACACACACACACACACACACACACACACACCACACACACAACACACACACACACACACACACACACACACACACACACACACACACACACAGTTTAGTTTAATATCTTTATTATGCACCCCATACCCATCCTGTGGGCGGTAGTCAAAAGATTACAAAGGTACATAATGGGTCCAGTGACTGGACCCCAAAGTTATGATAGCTGAACTAGTTACAAAGGTAATGAACTCCAGGTAGATCTGGTCACAATCATGGCAAGTTACAGAGGTAATGAATCAGCTTCACTCCTATACATGGTTACAGTGAACATTAAAATGGTATAAAATACCGACAGATTGTTAGGTAAGACACATATGCAACAGTTAGGTATCTTTATTTCGAAACGTTTCGCCTACACAGTAGGCTTCTTCAGTCGAGTACAGAAAAGTTGATAGAAGCAGAAGAGACTTGAAAACGATGTAATCAGTCCATCACCCTTAAAGTTTTGAGGTGGTCAGTCCCTCAGTCTAGAGAAGAGCATTGTTTCATAGTCTGAAACAATATGGAGTTGAAGTGACAGGATGGAGCCTTATATAGCGCCAGGAGGTGAGACGTAGGTCACTAGTAGAACGCAGATGTTGGGAGGTCAGGTCCCTCTCAAATCCAGCCGTTCTCACTAGTAGAGGATGTCGAAGTTGAATGCAAGTCTGTACCAAGATACCCTTGTGTTGAAGTGTCTGACAAATTGAACATTAAAATGGTATAAAATACCGACAGGTTGTTAGGTAAGACACATATGCAATAGTTAGGTATCTTTATTTCGAAACGTTTCGCCTACACAGTAGACTTCTTCAGTCGAGTACAGAAAAGTTGATAGAAGCAGAAGAGACTTGAAAACGATGTAATCAGTCCATCACCCTTAAAGTTTTGAGGTGGTCAGTCCCTCAGTCTAGTGAGAACGGCTGGATTTGAGAGGGACCTGACCTCCCAACATCTGCGTTCTACTAGTGACCTACGTCTCACCTCCTGGCGCTATATAAGGCTCCATCCTGTCACTTCAACTCCATATTGTTTCAGACTATGAAACAATGCTCTTCTCTAGACTGAGGGACTGACCACCTCAAAACTTTAAGGGTGATGGACTGATTACATCGTTTTCAAGTCTCTTCTGCTTCTATCAACTTTTCTGTACTCGACTGAAGAAGCCTACTGTGTAGGCGAAACGTTTCGAAATAAAGATACCTAACTGTTGCATATGTGTCTTACCTAACAACACATGGTTACAGTCATGAGCAAATTACAAAGTAATGAACCACTGATACGTCCACACCTGGTCACAATTGTAATGAGTTATAAATACAAATATTAAGTGGATCATACACCCACACATCAACCAAATCTTTCAGTGGGCTGCAGAAAACAATATGAAGTTCAACGATGAGAAATTTCAATTACTCAGATATGGTGAACATGAGGAAATTAAATCTTCATCAGAGTACAAAAATTCTGGCCACAAAATAGAGCGAAACACCAACGTCAAAGACCTGGGAGTGATCATGTCGGAGGATCTCACCTTCAAGGACCATAACATTGTATCAATCGCATCTGCTAGAAAAATGACAGGATGGATAATGAGAACCTTCAAAACTAGGGAGGCCAAGCCCATGATGACACTCTTCAGGTCACTTGTTCTATCTAGGCTGGAATATTGCTGCACACTAACAGCACCTTTCAAGGCAGGTGAAATTGCTGACCTAGAAAATGTACAGAGAACTTTCACGGCGCGCATAACGGAGATAAAACACCTCAATTATTGGGAGCGCTTGAGGTTCCTAAACCTGTATTCCCTGGAACGCAGGAGGGAGAGATACATGATTATATACACCTGGAAAATCCTAGAGGGACTAGTACCGAACTTGCACACGAAAATCACTCACTACGAAAGCAAAAGACTTGGCAGACGATGCAACATCCCCCCAATGAAAAGCAAGCAGGGGTGTCACTAGCACGTTAAGAGACCATACAATAAGTGTCAGGGGCCCAAGACTGTTCAACTGCCTCCCAGCACACATAAGGGGGATTACCAACAGACCCCTGGCAGTCTTCAAGCTGGCACTGGACAAGCACCTAAAGTCAGTTCCGGATCAGCCGGGCTGTGGCTCGTACGTTGGTTTGCGTGCAGCCAGCAGCAACAGCCTGGTTGATCAGGCTCTGATCCACCAGGAGGCCTGGTCACAGACCGGGCCGCGGGGGCGTTGACCCCCGGAACTCTCTCCAGGTAAACTCCAGGTAAACACTAGCGCGCGTGCACACACACACACACACGAGGGCGCACGCACGGACATGTGCACACGAGCGTACAAATATATGCATACACACAAGGACGCACACCCACACACACACACCAACACCCACACACACACACCCTCACACACACCCACACACACCCTCACACACACCCACACACACACCCACACGCACACCCACACCCACACACACACACACAACACACACACACACACACACACACACACACACACACACACACACACACACACCCTCACACACACCCACACACACCCTCACACACACCCACACACACACCCACACGCACACCCACACCCACACCACACACACACACACACACACACACACACACACACACACACACACACACACACACACACACACACACACCCTCACACACCCACACACACACCCTCACACACACCCACACACACACACGCACACAGCACACACACACACACGCGCACACACACACACACACACACACACACACACACACACACACACACACACACACACACATGCACACATGTGGTAATGCTTTATTTACAGCTAGCAAAGTCAGGGTATTTCTCCAGAATGGTCTGTAATATACCACTGTGGATAAAATACTTTGCCATTTCTTGAACATTTCTGAGTGAGTTGTTTCTAAATTCATTAATTTGATCACACTCCAGTACATAATGACGCAAGGTGTGACAATAGTCCATCTGGCAAAGTTTACATTTCGTTTGGTCTACATCAGGTGTGCGTGAGGGTGTGTTAGTTACCATTTTGTCCTAGGTACATGTCGATTAGACACTGGGTGTGTGTGTGTGTTGTGTGTGTGTGTGGTGTGTGTGTGTGTGTGTGTGTGTGTGTGTGTGTGTGTGTGTGTGTGTGTGTGTGTGTGTGTGTGTGTGTGTGTGGTGGTGTGTGTTGACTCAACAATCAATATTTGCACCAATAACTCATTACAGTTGTGACCGGGTGTGGAAGTGTGAATTGCTCATTACTCTATAATTTATTCATGATTGTAGCATGTATAAACGTAAGTAACCATTCTACAGAATTCATTACCTTTGTAACTTGTGAGCTCATTACCTTTGTACCTAGTTCAGCTATCAAAACTTTGGGGGCCCAGTCCCTGGACCCATTACGTACCTCTGTAATCTGTAAATACCTTTGTAACTTGTCATGATTGTGACCAGACCTACCTGGAGTTCATTACTTTTGTAAATTGTGAGTTCATTACCTTTGTAAATTGTGAGTTCATTACCTTTGTAAATTGTGAGTTCATTACCTCTGTAACTTGCTCAGCTATCAAAACTTTGGAGTCCAGTCCCTGGACCATTTATGTGCCTCTGTAATCTTTTGACTACCGCCCACAGGATGGGTATGGGGTGCATAATAAACATATTAAACTAACTAACTAAAACTACATCTGGTGGTGGTGATTTAACCTGCCAAAGATACTTGTAACCCAGCCGGAGCCGGGCAGTAGTGACATCCAAGAGTCTGCTTATCTTGTTGGATGCACCATAGACATGTGGCTCCTCCTGCATGATGGAATGATGATAGATGGACTGACTTGTGTCAATCTCCCTAAGTCTTAAGTCAATAAAGTTAATTTGAAGTTCTTTTCGTATCATTGTTCTCAAACTGCTAACTGACAACCCAAGATTGTAATCTATCCCCTCTTTGAAAGCATACAGCTTAGCCAGTTTATCAGTTCTATCATGCATCTGAAGACCAATGTGAGATGGCGGGAATTATAAAAGAAATAAAATTTCTGCCTGAATAGAAGACTGGAACAATTAGTTTTTAATTAGGTGAAGTGGATCTTTTTACCTAAAGCTCGGCAAAACAGATTCCTACACGTCCCCTCCCGAGAGAGTTCCGGGGGTCAACGCCCCCGCGGCCCGGTCTGTGACCAGGCCTCATGATGGATCAGAGCCTGATCAACCAGGTTGTTACTGCTGGCTGCACGCAAACCAACGTACGAGCCACAGCCCGGCTGGTCAGGTACCGACTTTCGGTGCTTGTCCAGTGCCAGCTTGAAGACTGCCAGGGGTCTGTTGGTAATCCCCCTTATGTATGCTGGGAGGCAGTTGAACAGTCTTGGGGCCCTGACACTTATTGTATGGTCTCTTAACGTGCTAGTGACACCGCTGCTTTTCATTGGGGGGATGTTGCATCGTCTGCCAAGTCTTTTGCTTTCGTAGTGAGTGATTTTCGTGTGCAAGTTCGGTACTAGTCCCTCTAGGATTTTCCAGGTGTATATAATCATGTATCTCTCCCGCCTGCGTTCCAGGGAATACAGGTTTAGGAACCTCAAGCGCTCCCAGTAATTGAGGTGTTTTATCTCTGTTATGCGCGCTGTGAAGGTTCTCTGTACATTTTCTAGGTCAGCAATTTCACCTGCCTTGAAAGGTGCTGTTAGTGTGCAGCAATATTCCAGCCTAGATAGAACAAGTGACCTGAAGAGTGTCATCATGGGCTTGGCATCTCTAGTTTTGAAGGTTCTCATTATCCATCCTGTCATTTTTCTAGCAGATGTGATTGATACAATGTTATGGTCCTTGAAGGTGAGATCCTCCGACATGATCACTCCCAGGTCTTTAACGTTGGTTTTTCGCTCTATTTTGTGGCCGGAATTTGTTTTGTACTCTGATGAAGATTTAATTTCCTCGTGTTTACCATATCGGAGTAATTGAAATTTCTCATCGTTGAACTTCATATTGTTTTCTGCAGCCCACTGAAAGATTTGGTTGATGTCTGCCTGGAGCCTTGCAGTGTCTGTAATGTCTGCCTGGAGCCTTGCAGTGTCTGCAATGTCTGCCTGGAGCCTTGCAGTGTCTGCAATGTCTGCCTGGAGCCTTGCAGTCGATGTCTGCCTGGAGCCTTGCAGTGTCTGCAATGTCTGCCTGGAGCCTTGCAATGTCTGCCTGGAGCCTTGCAGTGTCTGCAATGTCTGCCTGGAGCCTTGCAATGTCTGCCTGGAGCCTTGCAGTGTCTGCAGTGTCTGCCTGGAGCCTTGCAATGTCTGCCTGGAGCCTTGCAATGTCTGCCTGGAGCCTTGCAGTGTCTGCAATGTCTGCCTGGAGCCTTGCAGTGTCTGCAATGTCTGCCTGGAGCCTTGCAGTGTCTGCAATGTCTGCCTGGAGCCTTGCAGTGTCTGCAATGTCTGCCTGGAGCCTTGCAGTGTCTGCAATGGAAGACACTGTCATGCAGATTCGGGTGTCATCTGCAAAGGAAGACATGGTGCTGTGGCTGACATCCTTGTCTATGTCAGATATGAGGATGAGGAACAAGATGGGAGCGAGTACTGTGCCTTGTGGAACAGAGCTTTTCACCGTAGCTGCCTCGGACTTTACTCTGTTGACGACTACTCTCTGTGTTCTGTTAGTGAGGAAATTATAGATCCATCGACCGACTTTTCCTGTTATTCCTTTAGCACGCATTTTGTGCGCTATTACGCCATAGTCACACTTGTCGAAGGCTTTTGCAAAGTCTGTATATATTACATCTGCATTCTTTTTGTCTTCTAGTGCATCTAGGACCTTGTCGTAGTGATCTGGGTTCGATTTCCGGCGAGGGTAGAAATAGTGGGCTTGTTTCTTTACACCGGTTGTCTATGTCCACCCATCAGTAAAATGGGTACCTGGGTGTTAGTGGACTGGTGTGGGTCAGATAAGATAAGATAAGATAAGATTTCGTTCGGATTTTTAACCCCGGAGGGTTAGCCACCCAGGATAACCCAAGAAAGTCAGTGCGTCACCGAGGACTGTCTAACTTATTTCCATTGGGGTCCTTAATCTTGTCCCCCAGGATGCGACCCACACCAGTCGACTAACACCCAGGTACCTATTTGCTGCTAGGTGAACAGGACAACAGGTGTAAGGAAACGTGCCGGAATGTTTCCACCCGCCGGGAATCGAACCCGGGCCCTCCGTGTGTGAAGCGGGAGCTTTAGCCACCAGGCCACCCGCATCCTGGGTGTAAGTGGACTGGTGTGGGTCGCATCCTGGGTGTTAGTGGACTGGTGTGGATCGCATCCTGGGTGTTAGTGGACTGGTGTGGGTCGCATCCTGGGTGTTAGTGGGCTGGTGTGGGTCGCATCCTGGGTGTTAGTGGGCTGGTGTGGGTCGCATCCTGGGTGTTAGCGGGCTGGTGTGGGTCGCATCCTGGGTGTTAGTGGGCTGGTGTGGGTCGCATCCTGGGTGTTAGTGGGCTGGTGTGGGCCACATCCTGGGTGTTAGTGGACTGGTGTGGGTCACATCCTGGGTGTTAGTGAGTTGGTGTGGGTCACATCCTGGGTGTTAGTGGGCTGGCGTGGGTTGCATCCTGGGTGTTAGTGGGCTGGTGTGGGTCGCATCCTGGGTGTTAGTGGGTTGGTGTGGGTCACATCCTGGGTGTTGGTGGGCTGGTGTGGGTCACATCCTGGGCGTTAGTGGGCTGGTGTGGGTCACATCCTGGGTGTTAGTGGGCTGGTGTGGGTCACATCCTGGGTGTTAGCGGGCTGGTGTGGGTCACATCCTGGGTGTTAGTGGGCTGGTGTGGGTCGCATCCTGGGTGTTAGTGGGCTGGTGTGGGTCACATCCTGGGTGTTAGTGGACTGGTGTGGGTCACATCCTGGGTGTTAGTGGGCTGGTGTGGGTCACATCCTGGGTGTTAGTGGACTGGTGTGGGTCACATCCTGGGCGTTAGTGTGGTCTGTAGTGGTGGGTCACATCCTGGGTGTTAGTGGACTGGTGTGGGTCACATCCTGGGTGTTAGTGGACTGGTGTGGGTCGCATCCTGGGTGTTAGTGGGCTGGTGTGGGTCGCATCCTGGGTGTTAGTGGGCTGGTGTGGGTCACATCCTGGGCGTTAGTAGACTGGTGTGGGTCACATCCTGGGTGTTAGTGGGCTGGTGTGGGTCGCATCCTGGGTGTTAGTGGGCTGGTGGGTCACATCCTGGGTGTTAGTGGGCTGGTGTGGGTCACATCCTGAGTGTAAGTGAGTTGGTGTGGGTCACATCCTGGGTGTTAGTGGGCTGGTGTGGGTCGCATCCTGGGTGTTAGTGGGCTGGTGTGGGTCGCATCCTGGGTGTTAGTGGACTGGTGTGGGTCACATCCTGGGCGTTAGTGGACTGGTGTGGGTCACATCCTGGGCGTTAGTGGACTGGTGTGGGTCGCATCCTGGGTTAGTGGACTGGTGTGGGTCACATCCTGGGTGTTAGTGGACTGGTGTGGGTCACATCCTGGGTGTTAATGGGCTGGTGTGGGTCACATCCTGGGTGTTAATGGGCTGGTGTGGGTCACATCCTGGGTGTTAATGGCTGGTGTGGGTCACATCCTGGGTGTTAGTGGACTGGTGTGGGTCACATCCTGGGACAAAACTGACCTAATTTGCGGGAAATGCTCAGCATAACAAGCGGCTGTATACCTTGTACATGTACATGTAGTAATTAAAAATATTATTATTAAACAAAACAAAAGAAATTTTATTTCTGTATGCAATAATACAAAATAAAGTTCACACTTAATAAAATATTTTTAAAATAATAATTATTACTGAAACGCCATAATGCCCACAATGGTGATGCCGACCTCTGGAGGAACTAGACATTATGTTGGTTGATAAAGGAACATAATCTATATAACCTCGGTTTCTGCATTCTTTGTGGGAAGTGTAAGTTTTGGAATTCATTCATTCATTAGAGGTTTGCCGGTACTTCTGGCCCGGGTCTTCTCCATATGGTGACCCGGCTAAATAAGTTTTGGAAGACAAAGCGGGAGTTATATATTGATTTTAGTAGGTGCAGCAGGTGAGGACCAATCAGAGGACAGTAGTGAAGCTCCTGGCCAATCACAGCCAGCGTAAACAAAGAAGAATCGATAATTAAGACCTGACTGGCCGGTCCTCCATAATTACAGATAAGTGAGTAAATAAGCTTATTTAGGTACAGGTATATATAAGTACAATTATCTTATATTGTGTAAATTATCTAGGATAACCCAATAAGAGTCAAAGTGACTTATTTCTACTGTGGTCCTTGTAAATAAGTAACAAATTAAGAAAGCAAGTAAGTTATTTAGGCACAGTTACACATAAGTCCAACTATCATAAATAGTGTAAATCACCTAGGATAACCCCAGAAAGGTCAAAATGATTTATTTCCACTGGTATCCTTGACCTCGGGTCACGAGATTGTCCTCTCTTCTGACCGGTGTTATAACAACACTCTCTACGATTACAGTATTTCCTCTCATTTTATATTATCTTAGTCTATTTAAGGACATTTACACCTTTTTTGGACAATTACAAGTGTCTCACATATCAGCATGTGTTAATTACCTAAAATAACCCCAAAAAGAGTCAAATAAAAAAAAATTAATTTGCGTAACTATTGTCAAAATTTGAGACACCTTTACTGTGTAATTTTTATAACTATAATTTCAACTTTCCAGTATGAAAGGTGGGAATTAAACCCCCATAAAACAGAAAAATTAAAAACACATCCACTACCGCCCACAGGATGGGTATGGGGTGCATAATAAACATATTAAACTAACTAACTAACAGCAGGCTGACGACCGGCTCAGCGCAAGAGCCGTAAATAAAAAATTTGGAATCTTCCAGGAATACCGAATTTATTTTTGGTGTCTTGGTTAATATCCTGCCGGATAATATGGTAGTAAAAAATGGTGTCTTATAATTTTAGTGTTTATGTCACCTGGTGCCAAGGGCGAGACGTGTTCTCTGTATCAAGGGGAATAAATAACTTTTATTTTTGTTGCAGGGTTATCCTAGATAATTTACACTATGTATGATAATCATACTTATGTGTACCTGTATCTTAAAAAACTTGATTACTTACTTACCCACTTACTTACCCACTAACCCACTTACTTATCCACATACTTACCCACTTACTTACCCACTAACCCACTTACTTATCCACGTACTTACGCACTTACCCACTTATTTACTTACCCACTTACCAACTTACTTACCCACTTACCAACTTACCCACTTATTTACTTACCCATTTACCAACTTACTTACCCACTTACCAACTTACTTACCCACTTATTTACTTACCCACTTACCATTTTATTTACTTACCCACTTATTTACCTACTTACTTACCCACTTACTTAATTATCCATTTACTTACCCACTTACACATTTACTTAATTACTTACCCACTTACTCACCCACTTACACACTCACATCAACTCCCTGGTGGATTTTAAGTATAAATCCGGATTCATTAAATACGAGTCAGTTACAAGAACGATGTTGATGGTTTACCATCAGAGTGGCGGCGGCGGCGGCGGCGGATGGATCACCACAACCTTCCACTAATATCCACTAAATGAGAGACTCCAGAGAGGAGAAGAGCTCCACCATGCCAGAAACTCCACCAGTGGCACCAGCGGTGGAGAAGACGCCGTGTAAAACAAAATTCAGCGAGTGTGAGTTAAAGAGTAGTGGTGGAGACTGTGTGTTTAGTTCTTGTTACTGGGAACTAGTTCCTCTCTGGGAATTTCTGCCGTTATTCTAGGTTAAATTCTGGATAATTTGATAATGGAGAGCTAATGTAGGAGATTTAAGTTGTGTATCAGAGATGTTATATGAAATACTGTGAGTGTTATGTAATCCTGGGATTTATAACTATAATGTAATCCTTTATTGACAATGTTTCTCCCATACACTTTTTTTTTTTCAGTTGTAGAGAAACTTTGTTAATCATATTTACAGAGTACTGAGGTGCAGAGTGAAGCTTCAACCCGTAGGGGCTTTTAAAATGCTGACACAGACGTATGATTGAGCGAGGGTTGTATTTGAGAAGAACCTGTCTAGCATGGGCCAGTGGTCTTAATGAAGTGCTATATTTTATGTGGGATACCAGTCTAGAAGGTTCCTGGCGAGAGGCTTATGTCTTTGTTCAAATTCTAAACTCAAATTCAAAAATTTATTTCTTTGCCTACATACAATGTGTAGTTTACATGTAGCATACAATGTATAGTTTACATGTAGCATACAATGTATAGTTTACATGTAGCATACAATGTATAGTTTACATGTAGCATACAATGTATAGTTTACATGTAGCATACAATGTGTAGTTTACATGTAGCATACAATGTATAGTTTACATGTAGCATACAATGTTAGTTTACATGTAGCGTACAATGTGTGGTTTACATGTAGCATGCAATGTGTAGTTATTAACAATTGTAGACAGTACATACAGTGTGTAGTTTACATGTAGCATACAGTGTGTAGTTTACATGTAGCATACAATGTATAGTTTACATGTAGCATACAATGTATAGTTTACATGTAGCATACAATGTGTAGTTTACATGTAGCATACAATGTGTAGTTTACATGTAGCATACAATGTGTAGTTTACATGTAGCATACAATGTATAGTTTACATGTAGCATACAATGTATAGTTTACATGTAGCATACAATGTATAGTTTACATGTAGCATACAATGGTATAGTTTACATGTAGCATACATGTATAGTTTACATGTAGCATACAGTGTATAGTTTACATGTAGCATACAGTGTATAGTTTACATGTAGCATACAATGTATAGTTTACATGTAGCATACAATGTATAGTTTACATGTAGCATACAATGTATAGTTTACATGTAGCATACAATGTGTAGTTTACATGAAGCATACAATGTATAGTTTACATGTCGCATACAGTGTATAGTTTACATGTAGCATACAATGTATAGTTTACATGTAGCATACAATGTGTAGTTTACATGTAGCATACAATGTATAGTTTACATGTAGCATACAGTGTATAGTTTACATGTAGCATACAGTGTATAGTTTACATGTAGCATACAATGTATAGTTTACATGTAGCATACAATGTTAGTATACATGTAGCATACAATGTGTTTACATGTAGCATACAGTGTATAGTTTACATGTAGCATACAGTGTATAGTTTACATGTAGCATACAGTGTATAGTTTACATGTAGCATACAATGTATAGTTTACATGTAGCATACAATGTATAGTTTACATGTAGCATACAGTGATAGTTTACATGTAGCATACAGTGTATAGTTTACATGTAGCATACAGTGATAGTTTACATGTAGCATACAGTGTATAGTTTACATGTAGCATACAGTGTAGTTTACATGTAGCATACAGTGTATAGTTTACATGTAGCATACAGTGATAGTTTACATGTAGCATACAGTGATAGTTTACATGTAGCATACAGTGTATAGTTTACATGTAGCATACAGTGCATAGTTTACATGTAGCATACAGTGCATAGTTTACATGTAGCGTACAGTGCATAGTTTACATGTAGCGTACAGTGCATAGTTTACATGTAGCGTACAGTGCATAGTTTACATGTAGCGTACAGTGCATAGTTTACATGTAGCGTACAGTGCATAGTTTACATGTAGCGTACAGTGCATAGTTTACATGTAGCGTACAGTGCATAGTTTACATGTAGCGTACAGTGCATAGTTTACATGTAGCGTACAGTGCATAGTTTACATGTAGCGTACAGTGCATAGTTTACATGTAGCGTACAGTGCATAGTTTACATGTAGCGTACAGTGCATAGTTTACATGTAGCGTACAGTGCATAGTTTACATGTAGCGTACAGTGCATAGTTTACATGTAGCGTACAGTGCATAGTTTACATGTAGCGTACAGTGCATAGTTTACATGTAGCGTACAGTGCATAGTTTACATGTAGCGTACAGTGCATAGTTTACATGTAGCGTACAGTGCATAGTTTACATGTAGCGTACAGTGCATAGTTTACATGTAGCGTACAGTGCATAGTTTACATGTAGCGTACAGTGCATAGTTTACATGTAGCATTACAGTGCATAGTTTACATGTAGCGTACAGTGCATAGTTTACATGTAGCGTACAGTGCATAGTTTACATGTAGCGTACAGTGCATAGTTTACATGTAGCGTACAGTGCATAGTTTACATGTAGCGTACAGTGCATAGTTTACATGTAGCGTACAGTGCATAGTTTACATGTAGCGTACAGTGCATAGTTTACATGTAGCGTACAGTGCATAGTTTACATGTAGCGTACAGTGCATAGTTTACATGTAGCGTACAGTGCATAGTTTACATGTAGCGTACAGTGCATAGTTTACATGTAGCGTAAGTCTAGTTTACTGTAGCGTACAGTGCATAGTTTACATGTAGCGTACAGTGCATAGTTTACATGTAGCGTAGAGTGCATAGTTTACATGTAGCGTAGAGTGCATAGTTTACATGTAGCGTAGAGTGCGTAGTTTACATGTAGCGTAGAGTGCTATAGTTTACATGTAGCGTAGAGTGCTAGTTTACATGTAGCGTAGAGTGCGTAGTTTACATGTAGCGTAGAGTGCGTAGTTTACATGTAGCGTAGAGTGCGTAGTTTACATGTAGCGTAGAGTGCGTAGTTTACATGTAGCGTAGAGTGCGTAGTTTACATGTAGCGTAGAGTGCGTAGTTTACATGTAGCGTAGAGTGCGTAGTTTACATGTAGCGTAGAGTGCGTAGTTTACATGTAGCGTAGAGTGCGTAGTTTACATGTAGCGTAGAGTGCGTAGTTTACATGTAGCGTAGAGTGCGTAGTTTACATGTAGCGTAGAGTGCGTAGTTTACATGTAGCGTAGAGTGCGTAGTTTACATGTAGCGTAGAGTGCGTAGTTTACATGTAGCGTAGAGTGCGTAGTTTACATGTAGCGTAGAGTGCGTAGTTTACATGTAGCGTAGAGTGCGTAGTTTACATGTAGCGTAGAGTGCGTAGTTTACATGTAGCGTAGAGTGCGTAGTTTACTGTAGCGTAGTGCGTAGTTTACATGTAGCGTAGTCGTAGTTACATTGCTTAGCGTAGATGTAGCGTACAGTGCGTAGTTTACATGTAGCGTAGAGTGCGTAGTTTACATGTAGCGTACAGTGCGTAGTTTACATGTAGCGTACAGTGTACAGTGGACCCCCACATACCGTTGGCATCACATAACGTTAAATCCGCATACCGATACATTTTATCGCTAAGATTTTGCCTCGCATACCGCTAAAAAACCCGCGCAACGCTATTCGTCCGAGACGCGTCTAATGTGCGACCTGAGCCAGCCTCACATGTTCCGCCGGTGGCATTGTTTACCAGCCAGCCTCCGTGGTAACATCCAAGCATACAATCGGGACATTTCGTATTATTACAGTGTTTTTGGTGATTTTATCTGCAAAATAAGTGACCATGGGCCCCAAGAAAGCTTCTAGTGCCAACCCTACAGGAATAAGGGTGAGAATTACTATAGAGATGAAGAAAGAGATCATTGCTAAGTATGAAAGTGGAGTGCGTGTCTCCGTGCTGGCCAGGTTGTATAGTAAACCCCAATCAACCATCGCTACTATTGTGTCCAACAAAACGGCAATCAAGGAAGCTGTTCTTGCCAAAGGTTCAACTGTGTTTTCGAAACAGAGATCGCAAGTGATGGAAGATGTTGAGAGACTCTTATTGGTATGGATAAATGAAAAACAGATAGCAGGAGATAGCGTCTCTCAAGTGATCATAAGTGAAAAGGCTAGGAAGTTGCATGAGGATTTAATTAAAAAAAATGCCTGCAACTAGTGATGATGTGAGTGAATTTAAGGCCAGCAAAGGTTGGTTTGAGAGATTTAAGAAGCGTAGTGGCATACATAGTGTGATAAGGCATGGTGAGGCTGCCAGTTCGGACCACAAAGCAGCTGAAAAATATGTGCAGGAATTCAAGGAGTACATAGACAGTGAAGGACTGAAACCTGAACAAGTGTTTAATTGTGATGAAACAGGCCTGTTTTGGAAGAAAATGCCAAGCAGGACGTACATTACTCAGGAGGAAAAGGCACTCCCAGGACATAAGCCTATGAAAGACAGGCTTACTCTGTTGATGTGTTCCAATGCTAGTGGTGATTGCAAAGTGAAGCCTTTATTAGTGTATCACTCAGAAACTCCCAGAGCATTCAGGCAAAAGAATATCCTCAACGCTAATTTGTGTGTGCTGTGGAGGGCAAACAGTAAGGCATGGGTCACTAGGGACTTTTTCTATGACTGGTTACACCAAGCATTTGCCCCCAATGTGAAAGGTTACCTAACTGAAAAGAAATTAGACCTTAAGTGCCTCCTGGTGTTAGACAATGCCCCTGGTCATCCTACAGATGTGGCAGAGCGACTTTATGGGGACATGAGCTTCATTAAGGTGAAGTTTTTGCCTCCTAATACCACTCCTCTCCTGCAGCCCATGGACCAGCAGGTTATTGCAAACTTCAAAAAACTGTACACAAAAGCTCTGTTTGAAAGGTGCTTTGTAGTGACCTCAGAAACTCAATTGACTCTAAGAGAGTTTTGGAGAGATCACTTTAATATCCTCAATTGTGTAAACCTTATAGGTAAGGCTTGGGAGGGAGTGAATAAGA